TCAGATTTTATTTAAGTCAGCATATGTGATATTTTAGGGTAATAAGGATGTACGGTCTACCTTTAAACTGTGTTCTGTTTGATACTTTAGGAATTAGGACTATATGATCTGGCTTGCATTGTCTCGGTGGTTCTCGCCCACCTTGCCTTAGTCCCTAGACCTAGTATATTCTTAAAACCTTTACTAATCTTTACTAATATTTTCACTATTGTTCCATCGATTGTGAAATCGAAACTGGTCGATCATGCTTTTTGTGAGAGGTGACTGGCACTTTTCACTACTCAGCTTGACAGCTGGGTTCAGTAAACGTGACTGGAATGTGCAGGCAATATGCAAATAATGACAATGCATAAGAGTATTTATGCAACTTACCTTCATGCATCTAATTGTGTGCTGTTTGTTCCCCGGAAAATTTATTCAATATCGCGATGTATCTTTATGAGAATATAGTTTGTGTCTTCCTTACCGTTATTCTGTTGTCTGGGGTCCTTACGGTGAATACCTCACCATGTGTAAATGATTGTAAGAAAAAGGTAAGCGGGCAGCCAGAAAGAAAGCGTAGACGTAGTTTACATTGATTTCGTTCAATAATGTGGCAATGTGTTGGTATCAAATCTGACTTGAAAGCATCAGCGACATTTCTTTACATAATTTCAATACTGAAATAATAAATAATTGCTCAATTAAAACTACTGCAGCAATGTATATTTTATACAGAAAATCTACGTTTTAAGAGTGTACTCAGTGTAGGATCGGGAGAGTCACATGGTGGTCAACTATTTCTTTCCGATTGTTTTCGGTGATATGATTACCTTATCATATGAATTCAGTGAAAATATAAAGTCAAAATTTTCAATCGTGATATACCCCCAAAAAAGTGTCAAAATAAAAGAATCTGCAATATGCTTTAAGCATAGCTCTCATATGTCAGCGACACTTAACGATGCTATTGTCGATGATAACCGACGAATGGATTTGTATTTTGAATAAATTTTCTTCGTCACCGATCATTACCAATACAGGTAGCGACTGCCGAACAGAGAATATTAGGTGTAACACTTGTACAATTCAGCATGAATCATATAGATTTAATTTGCAAAGTAGTCATGAGTAGTCAATAGTCTGGGGACACTGACTGGGGATGGTGAAACGAGGAAAAATCCTGGGTTGGTTGGGACCGGAATGCATGGGCTCATATCAGGCCCAGACCGCCCAGTGAAGTGAAATAAGACTGAAACGCTCACTCAGAGAGTAAGCGTTCCAGTCTTATTTGAGTTCACTGATCAGGCCCAGCCTCGTTCCCAGGCGCTTTGAATAAAATAAATATAGGAACACTACAGGCTTTTACATAGATCGGCTAAGCTGAGCGAGCGCAAGCGCTATTTCTCCGTCGTGTCCTCCCCAAAACTTCTTGCGCGCTCCCTCTAATTTACCACTGATCTATGTAAAAGCCTGTAGTGTTCCTATATTTATTTTATTTAAAGCGCCTGGGAACGAGGCTGGATCAGGCCCTTCAATCGCTATGCCCTGGAAATTGCCAGTCCGCCCCGGTCAAATTCGAAGTAATCTGCCACCCTGATTGGTCAATCTCCACGAGAAGATTTATTGGCTTTTTCTATTTATTTATTTTATTACTGTGCAGTTGTGCAACCTTAGCTCAACATTGTATTGTTTAAATATTCATTGATGACTAATGAAAAAATTCTGACTGAAGATTCTTTGTACAAAAATTTCGAGGTAAACGATGAGTGTAATTGTAAATGTGGAAATAAGCGCGACATTCAACTGCCAACTGGGTTATACAACTCTTATAGTTTGCTTATTACTTTATCATAAATGACAAATTCATGATGAAATAATAAGAGAATGGTAATAGAGGGATTGTGAGCAGTCTAAAACAATATCTCTAGAATGATCTAAAACACAGAAACTTGGTAAATTTTTCATTATATAAAGTATTAATTTATATATAAAAAAATAATAATATTTCCGTTGCAGTGGCATAATTAAGTCTTTTGGGTTGTGAATTCATACAGCACTTGGGGAATTCAGGGTTAGGCAGAATAAATGAATGCAGCTCAAAATCGGTATCGCATTGGTAGATTTTTATTTAAAAATATTCTTTAGAAATCCATGACCAATTGCAGTTATTAAGGTATGTGAGTAAAATTAAGCCTTGTAATTTATTCCGCCTAACCCTAGATCCGCCACTGATTTCACAGAGCTGAAACTAGTGCCATAATTAGGGGATGAATATTCATATATTCTGTTCTGTCAGACAGATTTCTTTTGAAAATATACATATACAAAGGAAATCTGTATACAAATATATATGTATACAAATATATATGAATGTGCACCCTTTAAATTATTGCACTAACTTTTTACTGCACTAAATTATTGGTTAATCAACTGGATTGTAAATCCTGTATTCAGGTTAATACCTCCAAATCTTATATATTTTCAATCCAAGATTGAGTCTGTACTTCATAAGTGAATGTAAAATTATCTTGCAATGTGCCTCTGATGCTCTCCTGGCTGGTGTTGGACTAATGATTTGGGATAGGGTTTCCTCTTAGGTATTCAAAGGTGTGGTTAATTTATTTTTTTCTGCTACCCCATTTTGCATCTACATTCACAGGAACTGAGGAACATTTAATATGCAACAAAGGTGTGGGAAGCAATGTGGTACCTCACTGTACCCTAGTATTCCAGCATATAATCCTGCAAACATGACAATAACCAATAACAACATCAAACATTCATTGAAATCTTTCATTTTAGAAAGTACGTGTAAATAGTTTGTGTCACATACACTATATTTTAAAATCTTGACTTCAGATTAACTCATATCATTAACGAATATCATTAACATGCCAAAAGTTGCTCCCCAGACCCCACTAATTTCCCACTAATGGTTTGTTGCTGCGCGGAATATATGCGCAGAACGGACTTACCTCATCTTTAAAGCAATATGTGTCTTGAAGTTTTTATTGTAAATATAGTTATTGTAAACTTTTAGAATAAAATGCGAGGTAAACACACAAAAAATGGTAAGTGCCAGCGCTTATTCTAGTCAGCAACACTCGATTGTTCGTTATTGGGTTTGCGCATGCGATAAATCTCCAAGAATCTTGGAGATTCCTCAGGGTCAGAGAGTTCATAGTCTATTTCGGGCTGATTTCGGGCATGGGTCTGCGGCGCAGGCTAGAGAGTTCACTGGGGTCAGAATTCCTTGCGTGCTCGCTCCGCTTAGCCACTGATCTATGTAAAAACCCTGTAGTGTTCCTATATTTTATTTTATTTAAAGCGCCTGGGAACGAGGCTGGGGGTCAGAGTCTTCGTTGGCCGACAGACCGTTGTTCCCCTCGCCATGAACACAAAAGACGCTGGGCACGAGGTTTGCTCTTTATCTTCCCCCGATGGATCGCGGGCTCTGGTTTCGAGATTGGGAATAGTTATTTAAAACAGCTTGTTCACACGCATGCCTGTTTATTCCTATCTGTCGTGTCCGCGATCATGCAATGCACTTTAAGATCGATAAACTCTTGTCAACAAGTATTTTGCCTCCTGATTTCGGCGATTGCGGCGATTGCGTTATGTGGGGCCCTTGAGGTAAATAACGCAGGATGTGTTAATGATTGCAAGGAAAAAGTAAGTGAAGCTTTATGCTTATGAACATGCAGTGTCCATAGATGGGTGTATACATAGCGCTATCCACCAGATAATAATTTTTTCAACCGTTGTATTAAAACATGACTGAAAAGCGATGAAATCACAGATTTAGACCCAACAGTTAAAAGTAGAACCCCCATTTTAAGAATACTAAGGTTTGTTCTAAGTTATACCGAACAACGAGCAATTTTAGAGCGATTGAAAAAATAACTATTCGGCCTGTAGCACTCTTCAGCTTCCGCGAACATCTGACCCAGTACTATAAACACGCGCATGCAAGGTAATAGGTATGTCATGTGATGACTGATTGAAGTTGACTAATTTTGCCTTAAACCTCCGTATCAAATGCGAACTTTTATAGCCGCCATGTTTGCTGCTGTGACGTCATGACGTTACCGATGTTTCGAAGCTTATGGTAATATATATAGCTTGTGTGTTGTCCGCTTCGAATTTTCGAGCTTGACGCGGAGAACCAAATCATTTTATTTTAAAATGAAAGTTAATTCTGTTAACTAACATATATTCAAGGAATGTCTGGTAAAGGGTCTAAAGGGTCTAGGGTAAAGAAAATATAAGCCGATTTGTTAGAAAATTCAAATTAGTCTTAGCCGGTCTGACAGCGATATAATGTAGTAATATATACCATATATATGCATGTATATGTTGTGCCGCATAGTCCTTTGTGCCACAAAGTCTTACGTAAGACGATCTTGAAGAACTTAAAAAACTGCTTAGTCTTTCAGTAAAAGAAGACGAAGGCAATGATATGACGTCCTTGTTACTAATATTATTGGTGTATTTACTGTATTATGCGATATATTCCTGCAAACCATAAACAGTAATATGATACTGCACTATTGTAAATGCCACTGTTGCCACATTGCCACTGTTTTGCAATAGCGCGTATCGAACTATATCAAACACACACTAACACTGGTCCGTTTATCTACATAAATACTCAAGAAGCACCATCCTTGCTGGTTTAAATTGAACCTCAATGTCTTAAGAAACGACACTGCCCTTACAAATTAAGACACCAAGGCCAATATCATTATAATTCATCATGAATGCATGTGCGCGCGAAATATCTTCGCATTAATTGCCCATGCCTATATATATCTGTTAGCTTTCCACTCGACTAAGCTACTTGACACTAGTATTTTTACGCCATGCTAAGAATCGGTACTCCTTTTTACGTCACAAACCACAATATGGCGGAACAAAAAACTTGAAATCTATGTCATAATTGTCATTGGTTCTAAATTTAAAACGTTGAGATGTTAAAATGTTGTGCATGACGTATTTACAGAAAAGGTCTATTAAGGCCTTGATACACTAGGAAATGTTTCCGAAACAAAGTTTCGGAAACAAGTTTCGGAAACAAAAGTTTCGTGTGTATCATAAAAAGTTTTCCGAAACTTTTGTTTCGGAAACTGGAAATTTTGTTTTGGAAACTTGTTTCGGGATTAGAGCAATGTTCTATTTTCTGAAACATGTTTAAGAAACTTTTCAATGATAACCAATCAAACGAGCCATTTCAAACCACGTGACGATGCAGATTTCGGGCATTGGAATTTTATGGCGAAGCAAGATGGCCGGTGGGAAAGAGTTTTGGAATTCGGAAAAAACTGAGCAATTCATAGCATTATGGGAAAGCAAGCTATGTCTGTATGACACGACAAAAGAAGAATATCACGATCGGAATGCCAAGAAGAAAGCAAGGGAGGAAATCGCCGAAGTGCTAGGGGTAACAGGTCAGTTCTGTCGGTGTGCTATACAGTGTGTTCAAACAGTTTGCACGTGCAGTGATCTGTCGATTGTTTTTAACATTTTTCAGAATCTGATATTGTCGACAAAATTAAGAAAATGAAGAGTCAGTTCACTAGGGAGCGAGCAAAGGGAATGAAGCTAAAGAGTGGTATCGGAACCGACGAAGTTCCTGTGTCAAAATGGGTGTATTTGCCTTTATTGGCATTTTTAGTACCCTTTGTCAACGCCAAACCAAGCAAGTCCACTTTAGATGTAAGTACAAAGCATGGAAAAATCAGTTAATTGTATTTGCCGAAAGGATTACATATATTATGCACTTAAAATATTTACATATTTGCAGAAGTTACATGCAATAATACAGACGTCCAACATAGCTATGTTCAAAATATAAATATTAACCCAACAACATATTCTTAGATACTGCTGGTAAATCTCATAACAATGCTACAGTTTATTCCACTGCCAAGGTACTTCACCATCTGCCGAGTTGAAGTAATCACAGAATTCTTGTCGGATTTTTGTTGCAGAATCTGTACACCTGTTGCTACCTTGGTGTGCTAGTGGAATTAGACCCTCTGGGGTGGGCTGTAACCTCCACTGACCAGGAAAAATTTCATGTGTGTCTTGGTCTTCAATATCAACTAGGCCAAGTGGTGTGTAAACATTTTGGCCTTCGCTTTTTGAGCGAAGAAAATTATGCAACGAGCATGCAGCCATTACTATGTTTTCAACATTATGTGTTGACAGTTCAATAGGTTTCATGAATATTCTGAACCTATTTGCCAAGATTCCGAAAGCATTTTCTACAATACGGCGAGCACGACTAAGTCGATAATTGAAGATCCTCTGATCTTTAGTCAGGCTTCTTAGAGCAAACGGCTTCATGATGTTTTGGGAAAGTGGAAAGGCATCATCTGCTACAATGACATAGGGCACCTTCATTGTTCTGTTTGGCAGTGGAGCTGGGTCAGGGAGATTTAATTCACCATACTGTAATGCTTGTGCCAAAGCCGAATTTCTGAAAACACCACCATCTGAGATTCTTCCATTGGTTCCAATATCAATGTATGTAAACTTATAATCGGCATCAACTAATGCAAGGAGAACAATGCTGAATGTATGTTTATAATTGAAGTAATATGAGCCACTTGAAGGGGGTGGTTTTATGACAACATGCTTCCCATCTAAGGCACCAAGGCAGTTGTCAAAATTCCATTTTTCTTTAAACAGCATAGATACAGCTTTCCATTGATCGGCCGTCTTTGGTACCTGTGATACAGTACAGGGTATATTATGTTATAATTTTCTTGTATGATTGCATGGCGACTTTAGTAATTATAATAACTTGTAGGTTCACCACGTAAGTAACGGACCGAAAGCTTTGCAGTATTTAATACTTACGTGGTGTACCTACAAGTTATTATAATTATATTATGTTAGTTCTAATAACTTGATTTTATATGTTTTGCAGCTGTCACTCGAAAAATTTGGTGATGGAATTACTGATGACAATAATATTGAGAATGATCTGTTAGATTCAGAAAGTGTTGAAATCTGTCAACCTTCAGCATCAACAAAGAGGCCAACAAATACCAGTACCCCGAAGATGTTAACGAAGAAACAAAAAAAGGAGGCAGAAGAACTGAACATACTAAAAAATACAGCAGCCTGTATGGAGAAAGCAATGTCTGACCCTGTGGTTATACATGAGGAAGAAGATTTGTTGTCTACATTTGGAAAATATGTTGTCGCAGAGTTGAGGAACATGAATCAGTCTCAACTATACTGCACTAAAATTCGGATTCAGCAAGCAATAATGGAAGGTCAGGCCCAATCTGTCATTCAACAATTTGGTAGCAATGAACTGCCTGGTTTTATTAACCTGTCCCCATCACAAGGCTTCCAATCAAGTCAAGTAAACAATTTAAACACTTGACACTTGTTAAAACTTAACATTTGTTTACTCTGTTTTGTTGTTTTATTGGTTATTGACTGATAAATATACCTACACTGCTTATCAACAATGAATTTCATTGTATAGTAAAATGTTTAAACTTGCTTCCCATTGCATAGATTTGTTACATGCTAGATTTGTTACTTTTCTTTAAAGTATGTATTATTGTTGTACATTTCATATTTTGCATTGTTGAAAAATACATACACTGGTAAGAATTCCACTCTGTTGTGACTGATTTATGGCAACTTTACCTTCATATAGTCCTTGAGTACCTTTATCAAAGCACAGCAGACCTGTCCCACAATTTGACCAATAGTTTGCCTGGGTATTCTGTATAAATACTGCAAGCTTGCATAACTCTCACCTGATAAAAAAATATGTCAAAGTTGTAAGGGCTGGAAACCTTTGACAGCTTCATGTGTGATTTTTCAAAAAAAAACTAAAACTATGGAAGCATGCTGTATTACCATATGCATGATTTACCTGTTGCCAAGAACCTCAATGTTAGGGCTAACCTTTCCCCCACAGGAATTGCTTTCCGCATTAGAGTATCCTTCTTAGCTATCAACGGTCCAACTATTTTTAGAAGCTCTTCAAATGTACTTGGATCCATTCGCAGGAAATTTGTGTATGATACTGTATCAGAAAGGCGAAGCTCGGTCAATAAATTATGATATGCTCCCTGCCTTGGCCTCTCCAGAATCCACTTCCTTGTCCAAATTTTGCGATTTCGTCGTCTTCTGGCTATTCTCCTCAGTATTATATTGACAATGAGAGCACCGCAAATAGCTACTAATCTTCTCTTTTTTAATTTTTGCGCAAAGAACTCCCTTTTTAACATTTTTAATCCTATTTAATGCATACTTGCAATTTTCCCGCCAAATTTAAACTGCGTAAACTATTCAAAACGTGTATATCCGATTGTTTCGGAAACTTGTGTTTCCGAAACTTGTTTCCGAAACTTTGTTTCGGAAACATTATCAAGTGTATCAAGGCCTTTAGGTAACTTGAATTTTAAATGCAAGAAACCTGCTCCGAGGTTGTGTGTATGATTAAAATTTCATACGTTTTGTCTTTCACTTAAAAAACGTGGTTTGTATCGATGACTGAACTCTTCAGACAGTTATAGTCATAGATATCATTATGTGTAATTTCAAAATGCATGGATATAGCGGCATCAGCGTGATATCGAACAAGGCTACTTACGCAAAACATACATGCGCACAATAGTCTATAGTCATAGAGTCATTAGCAGATGTTTTTATCGACGCTGAGGCAACGATATAGACGATATTGGCCGATATTGGTCATTTGTATATAAATATAGTTCCATCATGCACTTCATAAGTAGCAGGACAGATCTCAAATACGTATGAAATCAATTAGATACTGCGCTGGGTTGGGTTGTCGGGTTGAAGTAGCTACTTCACCTGTTTATTGCTGCCGCAGCGAGCGAGCGAGGCAGCGGATCCTAATTTACAATTGGGGGTGCAAATCAAAATTTGTCTTTAACCCCCTCAATCGCTACGCCTAGGAAATTTTCCAGTCCGCCTCTGTCTCTTAACAACCTGTTTATCTGATATTGGAATTAGTTATTAACAGCTTTTTCACATCCATGCCTGTTTGCATGTTATTCCCGTCTGTCGTGTCCGCGATCATGCAATGCACTTTACGATCGATGAACTCTTGTCAACAAGTATTTTGCCTCCTGATTTCAACGATTGCGTTATGTGGGGCCCTTGAGGTAAATATCGCAGGATGTGTTAAAGATTGCGAGAAAAAAGTAAGTGAAGCTTTATGCTTATGAACATGCAGTGTCCATAGATGGGTGTATATATAGCGCTATCCACCAGATAGTAATTTTTTCAACCGTTGTATTAAAACATGACTGAAAAGCGATGAAATCGCAGATTTAGAGCCAACAGTTAAAAGGAGACCCCCCAATTTAAGAATATACTAAGGTTTGTTCTAAGTTATACACTGAACGAGCAATTTTAGAGCGATTGAAAAAATAACTATTCGGCCTGTAGCACTCTTCAGCTTCCGCAAACATCTGACCCCGGTATGTCGTGTTATCACTGATTTGTCATTTAATTGATTATCTTTAAGTGGATGCATTTGTATGGATGCATGCATAGTGATATTTATACATATTTAATTTCGGCCGATTTGGGCGTTGCCGTTGATCATGTCTTTCTTCGCGAAGTTTAATTTTCCTACACCCTCCACTCGCATTGAGTAATTAAGGCCCGTTTACACTTGCGAACTTCGCTGCGATTTTATGTGTGATTTTCTTCTTTTGATAGATGTGAACGAGTGAATTAGTTACTGATGTTCAAATAAGAGCTGTTATACATCAGAGCATTCGTAACTAATTCACTCGTTCACATCTGTCAAAATCGTAGCAAAATTAAGATTATACCTGCGCGATCGAGCGGTGCCGGAATAATGACTATATTAATAGTAATTTTTTGATACAAAAATATTTTACTTTTATTTTTGCATTCATATTTTGGGATATCCCATTAAATATTCACAAGTCATGGAGAAAAAATGTTAACAACACGATTCAAAATGCAATTAGCGAATTCGTACTTTACATATTTCTGCATGGCACGTTCAGTTTGCAAAGTCTTTTTTGATCTAAATTACTAACAGAATCTAAAATCTAAAATCTAAAGTGTAATTTCAAGATGCATGGATAAAGCGGCATCAGAGCTTGATGTCGCGTGATATCGAACAAGGCTACTTAAGCAAAACATACATGCGCACAATAGTCAGAAATATGACAATAAAATACAGAAATATGAATACAGTCCATATATAGTCTATACTCCAGGTTTGAACCATTCCACGTTTACATTACCTTATTTATATTAAGTAAATGGCCAAATTTCCTTTCAATTTGGCACATTGTATTAGGGTGCGTGTTGATGTTGAATATAAACGAAATATAATACTTTTCATCACAACAAATGAAAAGAATTTAAATGTAGTATCGAAATGTTCGTCAAAACGAAGGGTCGGACGGGATGATTCTTAATTCACGCCTATACTCTTACGAAAACAGTGAGCCGAATGAAATGAGATATTTAAACATGAATAGCCCTTTCCTGTTAGGAAGTATGTCATCATTCATCAACAATGTTGATCAGCAAAAAACAAACTATACGCCATAAGTAAATAGCAACCAAAATAAGAAAGACTAAGATCAGGGATTAAATTAAATATTTAAACATTCAACTACTGCGCAACTAGGAACGAGATTGGCAACCCAAACACTTACATTATGCTTTCAGGCAGCATTTCTACCCATGGGTAACCTAGTATTTGGGTGCCATATGTTTTATGTGCACATCTTTGTTGTGCGAATCATAAAGCAAACAGTTTTCTCTCCAGTAAATATATCTGAAGTGAAGTATAGTGTATCTTAATCTTTGTATTCCTTCGAATGCGGTCAGATACACCGACACGACGCCTGCTGCCTGCACGCACCATATCCGTCGGATCAATATAAACCTTGAAAATAATCATGCACAGAACCGAGTCATTAGCTTTATTTGGTCTTGAAAAGATGGATGTTCACTTATCGTAGTTGTACGTCTTCTTATTATATTGCATAAAATTATCGCGTCTGGAAACAAATTTTACATTCATTTTACATACTGTACTCTCTTTTTTTAGATCAAGAGATATCAAGAATTTTGCGAAGTGAAATGTTCTCAAGAATCTCTTAGCTCTCGAGCGGAAAAAGGTCCGTTAAAATTGAAGAGCACATATTATAGTAAGCGAACATAATGGCCAATCAAAACAAGTAATAATTTTGGATTCTTTTCAATTCAGCCAAAGAGGATTCGAAAAGTGCTAGCGCTTTACCAAAACCTGCAGCACCGAAACTGGTTGACGCTGGATGGAGGAAAATACGTGTTCGTTTCAATACGACCGAGCTGGAGGTCCAGACCCAACTTGAATATATTTTGGAAGTGAAGCCACTATGGGGTCGTCCAGAGAGAGGCCAGTACTTTTATGTATTTCCTTACACAAGGAATTACCGTCGTGTAAGTTAAAAATTTGTAAATTGAAATGATATAAAACAGTATTTTGACCTATGTCATACCATGCAACATTGAGAAATGTTCCTGCTCGTAACCCAAAATATAAGTGGATCTCCATAATTGGATGAGAATCGAATTAACTGAAAACTATTTCAGTTTGAACAACGAAAACAGGGCGACTCGTAATCAGAGCATGCATTGCTATCGGATCCCCTTCCTTTTTTTAATCAAATAGTCTGCCTAAAGGTTTTGTGGTGTCTCTAGGCTTGTTGTTTTAGTGCTGTATAGTCATCGCCGATAGTGTGTTCAATCACTTCAATATAGAGGCCGTGATGCATGATCGGTATATAGCTAATGCTTCTCTTTTGGCTTTTAACTACCAGACTAATAAAACAACGTATACAATTGAAGATCTCGAGCCGAATACTGACTATAAATTCAGAGTGATTGCTATTAAAAACAACACAACGTCAAACTTTAGTAACTGGAGTAATGTCATGAATACCACGGGTAAGTCGAAATGTCAACTACACGCAGTATATAATTATATGCTTTATGTTTTTTGGCAGCAGGTGCTTGCCATGTATGCAAATATAATGAACTTCGCCTGCATGTGAGTTCTGTAATATAAGACTGCATGTTCTCCAATAGATGCATTTGTTAAACACACGTAATCCGGCCACTGAAAAAAAACAGTGAATATCGCTAGATAAACAAAAATTAATTGTAAAACTCAAGAAATGCTTACTTTTCATCAAGTTTATAGGTATATAGTATTCGATATTAGGGTCAAAGTTGTACTTGTGTTCTTTAAATTTCGAAAAGATTGAAGCGGGCCCCTTTCTGTTAATATAATGCAACACGAATTTGAGATTTTTGTGTGGTTCCTTCAGTTCAGCCTATTCCCTTATTTAAAATATGTCCATCAGCATGCAGTTTTATATGAGCGTCTCAGTAATTTTTCCAAAATCAGTTTGTTCCAACTTTCTTTCGGCATGTTAGGATTTTTGTTATACCCATTTACAAGAATAAGGATATCTTCGCGCTATCCGAACACGCCTGTATGCATGGGAAAAATAGGGCATTGGAAAAAAATTGTCAGAAACAAAATATTTCCAGATTTAAAGACATGTATAGCATTGAGTTGCGGCCTCCGAAATAAGGCTATAGCAAATTATGTACACTGCATGGACAATTATCTAAAATTCGGTGTAATCCATATCGAATTTATAATCTTTCATTTAAGACCAATTAGACAAAATTGTTTTTTTTACACCAATTAATTATTATAGCCATTGCACGGAGTTTTCTCAGATATACGCGTACGTTTATTTTTAGAATTTTGTGAAACTGAACCTCCATGTGGTGTAACAAATATACGCTTAAATTTGACGACAGAGATACCTTATCAGAAAGACGTGGATCTAAAATATTTGTTTCGTTGGACCCCGAGTACTTCATGTATGTATGAAACGTGAGAGAAACGTTTGTGAGTTAACATGCAAGATTATATTGCTAGGATGCCAAATGAAGGAAGGTAGCAACAAAATGGAAAATATTCATTCCATACGTATCATAATATCGTGCGCCGGAGTGATTTCCAACGAATATTCCACTGAAAACGAGCGTATTTCTGCATAAAAATAATAAAATAATAGAATAAAATTTGCGATAATCTCCTCTGTAATGATTACTAAAACTTGATATTATATTGAGACCAGACAATATGATTAATTCACAATGATTCGTATCCATTCTCTTTTAATAGTCAAGAAAATAAACCAAACTAAAGTTCGTGTAAATTTTTCTGTTATGAGTGAGTGTATACTAAATTTTAATGAAGAGAGTTATCTTACTGTTAAGAACAAAGAACTTGTTGGATCGGTAAGTATATAATGCTAGGCATTTCGATATTTTGTTGAGCAGATTTTTTGATTGTCAGATTAAAGTAGTTATTTTTTTCTGTTTGCTAACAAACGGTAAACGAACTGCGCGCGAATCACCATGCATGCATGCATGTATACATACAATAGCAAACGGTCAATCGTTACAGTACATGCATAAAAATTAACATGATATGGTATGATTGTAATCACTATATAAAACTCATTCGAGCCTCTTTGTCATTTAACATTTATCATGTATCTTCATTTTTCTCAAAGAATACCTTTAGCAGCAAGAAGATTTATTATAACTGTTGGTACATGTTAGAGGTAAGTTGTAGTTAAGAGTATGCATTCACTGTGGTATATATATATATATATATATATATATATATATATATATATATATATATATATATATATATATATATATATATATATATATATATAAATCTTTAATTTAATTCACTCATCCTTTATAATTCCTAAATAAGTTTATATTTCATACAGATACAGGCTGTAGATACTTCTATTGCTAAACCTTTGGAAACTTTGGCAGGAAAAAGAAGATGGATTTTCCATATACCAAGTAAGTTTACATTTATTTAAATTTTTTTTTGTTTTACTTTCCAGCTTTATTTTATTTTATTTATTTAATTTTAACAGCTATATATAGTCTCAAAATTCAGCTGTGTTTATAAATAGCAGTAAGATCATTTTTCCACTTCAATCGTATCGTACCGCAACGTATAGCGTATTTCTTGGTTTCCGAAGTTTTCGACCAGAGCTAATGACTTTAAAACACTTAGATACGCTATATTTCGCTAGGATAGGCGCCATTGTTAGGCTTGTGAAATATATTGTTTTCAATGTTTTGTTTGGGCCGAATTTTTTCCCACGCTGCAAATTAGCCAATCAAATCTTTCCACGCAAAACATATATATATATATATTATATATTAATATATATATATTATATTAAATATATATAAATATATATATATATATATATATATATGTATATATATATATATATATATATATATATATATACACCCATTTGCAAAAACGTTGGCCGCAGATAGATAGATAGATATAGATACTCGAAGTCTAATTAGAAATGCATATAATCACATTTGCATGGGATTTCAATCATATTACACATCATATGCAATTCTAATTAAATTTCGGGTATCTATCTATCTATATATCTGCGGCCAACGTTTTTGCAAATGGGTGTATATATATATATATATATATATATATATATATATATATATATATATATATAAATTGTTTTCTATAATATTCTATGAGGGGGTGGAACGTGAAGATATGGGTAATGAAGTATGAAGTAATGAAACTATGAAAGCCGCGTTGAAATGCCTAAGAATCATGCATGAGAGAAAAATTTTCTCGTGTCTGTAAAGTCAAACCCCTGTTACTCGGTATTCCTTTTTCCATAAGACCCCAGCTAAAGTAACGGTATGAGATGCATTGCTTAATCTTTCAGCATGTATACAGATCAATAACAAAAAGATATGCGGATGTTCATGTAAGTAGACAACAAAAAATATTAATCTTTCAGCCAAAGCGTACATAAGTTTCTTTACTTGTTAATATCTTTTTATTTTACAAAATATCTGTATTGTGTATAAGTTATTGTAAAAGCCAAGGGTCTATATATAACAATATCATCATTGATAAATTATACATAGCACGTGAAAAGTGATGTTCCATGGTGCTAAATGTAGCTATATACGTCTTCTTCCTATGTGTAACAACATCTACTAACATAAATAGATAGACGGGACGAAGAGCCCCGTCTTGGCCTGGTGAATGCCACTTTCAGAAGAGAAACAACATCGCAAAACAACACCGCTTCTGGAAGATTTACATGGAGTGATGAAATTTGGAGAAAAGACAGCAATTTGACCTATTTTCAGTTTATCTTAGAAATTTGGGATCCGTCTCCAGTGCAAGTTTTTGATAAATACTACAACGTTTCATCCATCGTAAGCATACAATCGATCACATATTTACACGCGGTTTTTTTTTAATTATAATTACGCGTGTATCAAACTTAATACTATACTTGAATCTTTGTTTACTTCATAGGTTTCTCAATATAACACCACAATTTACAATTTAACCATTAACGCAATCTATAAGATATTTGTGAGTATCATGAATTTTTATTCGTTATCCTTGTCACTTAATCACGGCACTATATCAATTGGGTTTACTATAAATATAGTTATATTCAACGGATACTTTCATATTGTGCTTATAATGGCGAATATATTCATGACATTTCATAATTTTCTTCAGATGATAGGATATACTCATCACCACTGCGAACATAGATATAAAATTAAGCTTGAGTTCAACGGTAAGTTTCCATCGATGCCGATTAAACTGTGAAAATATGCACCCTAGCTAGAGAGTTACGCAAATTAGCAAAGACAAGCCAATTAACGGACATGCATCTATACCACGTAGCCATTACCTGGGGAAAAAAGTGCTGCCCTACGCAGTTTCTTTCCGACTATAACATGCAGACGCTACTCGAGGCATGACCGCGAAATCCTGTTAACCGCGAAATGTGTTTATTTGTGTCGATTTCCTTTTTTATAGTTTCTTTTCCATGCGAAAACTTCGTTTGTCGTAAAAATAATAGCATATGCTATCCAGATGGTTACACGGGGAAAAGGAAATGTAGATGTATGGATGGTTTCTTAGAGAAAAGAGATGAGTGCATACAACCCGGTATGAGCACCTGTATAATAATGTTATACGCGACTGCCATAAATATATATATATATATATCAATAAACCTGCCAATACACTGTAAAAACTGAATGGTTGAAATGACCAAAAAAAAAGGTTGCAACCATTTAAAATGGTTGTTTCAACCAATTAAATTGGTTAAAACCAAATTAAAATGGTAGAAATAACCAATAAAAAATTGGTAAAATGGATATGAAAGCTCATATTGGTAAAAACAACCAAATATATTTAGTAGCAACAAATAAAATTTGGTTAAATTTACCAATTACTCTTTGTGGTCAATGGGGTATATTTGTAGACTTCTGGTTCTATGTTCTATTGAATCCAATAAAATATGCTAGAATGCTATAGCACATTCTAAATCCTATGGCTATAGAATATTCTATAGGACTTCTTATGATCTTATGCTATATAGAATTCCATTGCCGTATTCTATAGAATTCACAAATCCTATAGAATTTACAAATCCTATAGAATATTAAATCTTAAAATTAAATTTCTCAGCAAAAATCACTCGTTTTGTAAGGACAAATCACACATGCATGTATCTGTAAACTGTCTTCATAATATACCTGTTCGCAGGTTACGTGGCGGGCGTTTTGCCCAAAGAGGACCGCAAGGTTATGTGGGACTTGTATAACCGACACGCGTTATTTTCAAATTTTGAGCGCGTCTTTGACTCTTTGTCATCGGTTCAAGGTTTTATAGTAGAATTTAGTGAGTTTTTCTTTCGTATTTTAACATAAAATACGCGTTATTTGAATTTGTCAATGAGTAGTCATGCGAAATTGGTGAAACACGCTGGATTAATATGCGAGGAGATCCGGATTATTTGTGAATAGTGACTGTGATCGCGAGGAAGAAGTAATTGTGTCATGGCCATGTGGAATTTCTAAAGTTGATAAGAAAATAATCAAAGGTTCCATTCAACTATCTACAATTTCAACAACAACATGTGTACAGCTAAAGTATTATAATTCAGTGGTGAGTGTGTTTGTATATAGTATATGTTTATATTTAAAATATTGACTATTTTTTCAGATCAGACTTTGTATGGCTGCTGGACACTTTTTCAAAACTTTGTCTAGCTGTCACATGCCTACTAGTATTAATTAAATATGAAATGCCCTCTATATATAACCATGCACTGAGTCATTTTAATAAAAGATTACTTTATTCACTCCATCAAGGCTTCAAGATCACCTTTAAGTGCAAGATTCTTGTGACTGATGCTGAATCAGAAATCCTCAAATTCTGATGCTGAATCAGAAATCCTCAAATTCTGATGCTGAATCAGAAATGGCAAGTATTATTGTATTTATGCTGTCAAAACTCAACAACTGTAAATCCTACTTCTGGTGAATCATATAGATAATATAATATACCTTTTATTTATATCATTATAAATAGGGCCATTACAACTATTTCTGTCAATGCTTTTGCAGTACATTTATAAATTCTATAGCTATATCATGGCATCATGCTAAGAATGAATAAGGTGTCAAATGTTTAAATTTCATATTTACTGTTAAAATTTACAGATTTTCTTATATCCAAACATATTAACCAAAGGTCAAAATTTGGTTTATGCAATTATGGGCATGTCAAGGATGCAAGAACAACTTTGCTCTCATTCCATCCCTGGGAAACTTTCAAATTATGCCTTTAAAGAAAAGGATGCAAAACCCCAACTCGACCCAGAGAAAGTTAAGAGTATATGTGGTAAGTAGTAATTGTTAGTAACTATTTGTGGAAGTTAATATATCTTATATACATATCTTGGTTTATCTAATTGTTGACTTTTACTTTTTCTGTGTGTAGAGCATCATTTCGATGCACATGGTTAAGATGCCCAAACATTGATTCAAAGAAGCCATCAATGCTGGCTGTTCTGGAAAAGAACAAGAACAAAGATGTCCAACACATTATTGGTCTATTAGAGGATTGTCACCCGAACTAGAAAAAGGTATCTACAGATATATATGTATATAATATACAATGTTGAACTATGCAAATCACATTTATTATGTTGCCTGCTGAATCTTGTAATCAAACTTATTTAATAGAAATTGAAAACCATTGCATCTACACTGCCCCGCTGCATCAGTTGAGGCAGAGAAAGACCTGGACAATTATTTTGGGAAATTGTCCCTGTAAATATTAAACTATAGTTCAAGAGTTACTCCATAAGAACTAAAAATATGCTCAAGTGGCTGCTTGTCATGTGTAGGGTCTTGCTCTTTTGTGTCCCAGGATTTTTGCCATATGTAAATGTTTTATTTCCAAGCTTAGGAATATAAAGTTTTATAATTTTTAACTTTAATTTTAGGATGACAGTGGTGTTGAAATTTAGACCATTGTAAAAAAAGAACATTCCCGAAGTTGCTATTAACTGGATCTCTTGGTTACATCCATTCACTGGACCTTTTGGCTGAAGGCATGGTAGCAATAAAGTTTAAGCAGTTTTCCATCTTAAATGCTGTTGTGTGTTTGCTGACTGCATTGTATGTATCCAACGCAGAGAACCCTAAAGATGGAGGTGGGTAGACAAAGAATGTGTTCCTTCTTCTGGACCAGATATTACTCAAACAGACGGAAAAACGAACATTCCAATTGGAGTTAAAAACTTTTTTACCGCAGCTTTGAGAACCTGGAAATGACTTAAGTATAGATAGATGAATCCTAGTAAGATAAGTGTTTGAATGTAGTACTTTGTATATATGTATAAATGCAAATAACCATTAGGATAATTTATTTATTATATTAGATCTTTTATAATACATATGTGTGTTTTGACAAAATTTGATTTGAAGTGCTCTGAATTTCAGGATAATTTAACCAATCCTTAATTGGTTGAAATAATTGGTCAAAAAAACCATTGCACATTGGTTACATTAACCAAATTCAATATAGGTTACATCAACCTATTAAATATTGGTAGATTCAACCAATATTAATATTGGTAATTTTAACCAAAACGAATTTGGTAAAAAATAACCAAATTTTAATTGGTTGTCCTGGTTGCATCCAGGAGAACCTTTTTTTTTTGGTTGTTTCAACCATTCATTTTTTACAGTGTACAACCATGTTTCCAAGGAGGGTTCATCACCTGGGGAATACTACTTTACAATATCCAATATTATAATGAACGCAAGATATATAGCATTTGTAATTAGATGGACGCATTATAAAAGAGAACGGTGTATGGCTTGAACTTTTAATAAACTGATGAAGCTGTAAATAGCGAAACGTTTTTAATTATTTGAATAAAATTTTTATGTCCGCAGAAGTTCATGTCTACATCATATATTTCATATATATATATATATATATATATATATATATATAATATATATATATATTATATATTTTTATATATATATATATATATTATATATATATATATATAATATATATATATATATATATATAATTACGTTTATATATATGTGAAATTACGTTTATTTTTCAGACTCTGAAAAAAAACCTGAAACTGAAAAAGATGATTCAGAAAAAGGGACAAGTAACACTGGCATTATAATTGCTTCTGTTTTGATACCGGTTGCAGTGGTTCTAATTGCCGTATGCCTCATCGTTTGCTTAAAAAGACGTCACAAGAGGCAAATGACTTTCATGGAAAAAGAATTTGAATATGCTATGGATGCTATAAATCCGAATAGAAGAGCCATCGATGTACGATCGTAAGTATATATGTGTTATGTCGTATGTATGTATATATATATATATATACATATATATATATATATATATAAATTTACCGAAAAATTTAAATAAAGCACGCTTCGGCTTGTGCACTCTTGATTTGCTATAGCAACCTTTCTAAATTTTGATATATATATATATATTGATCATGGTAAGCAATAGTGATATGTTGTCCTGCTTGTAGCTCCTCATACTATCTCGGTAAATTTATATATATATATTATATATATATTATATATATATATAATTATATATATATATTATATATATATATACATATACATATGAATGAATGCCTTCAGGACATGCAGTAGTGTCAGTTATCATACGTATGCTAGGAGAAAAATATTCGCCAAACCACGAGAATGTTGGGAGCAATTACCACTTTTCATGTCAACTATATGAGTGGTATATGCGTCTAAAGCTAGGATTAGTCAAACGCGGTGCATCCCTCATATGTGGCAAAGGCATTATAAACAATAGACTGATCAATGATAGTTGAGATTCTTTATTATATCCACTATTGACAGTGCGTTCGGCTATTGAAACAGCCCTGTAAACTTCAGAACATATAAATCTGTGTATTTTATGGATTAGGATTGACCTTGACATGTTGGGAACTGAGGGAGAAGGAAGAGTGATGAATTTGATTTACGTTTCGCCAGAGAACGTTTATGAGATTCCAGAATATCTATCGGAACCAATTAGTCGATTCGAGCTACCGCCTGATTCTGTGAAACTTGACAAGATGATTGGCAGGGGGGCGTTTGGAAGAGTATACGCTGGTGAAGCCCGTGGAATAAATGGCAATCCCGAATTTACAGCAGTTGCGATAAAAACACTTAAAGGTGAAGATCACTGACATACTGTAATATTTTTATCAATATTGCGTTGGGGGACAGTAGAAATGTGTATCATTTTCGTGCAGTGAAGTGGTCGCAATGGACCGCGACTTTAAGACTAATTCACAAAAGCTGAGGGGGTGTCACACACCTCTCCCTATTTGCGCCCCTTCATGCTGATCAATAGTATTCAGTATAATAGTGCGTTCTTACGTGGCACATTTCGCCCGAGACGCGCTAAAAGGTTAAAAATCGTTGTATGGAAACATCAAACATGTAGGATTATTTATCATTCGCCTTACGCTATAGAATCCGCTAAAGGAGAGGGACTTTGTGATTTCTTACGGGAAATCGATTTAATGAAAGACCTTGGAGGACATGAAAATGTCATTAAAATGCACGGTTGCTGCACAAAAACTCGTCCAATATGCCTAGTGTTGGAATACGCCCCAGGTGGAAATTTGCTTAATCATCTGAGGGCTCTTAAAAAGAAGGTATGTAACATACGTTTTACGCCCATTCAGTGTTTCAGAAAATTAGTGATACAAGCCTATAAGTATGTATAAGTTATAGTTACAACTTATTAATAAGTTGTTCCAACTCGTCAGCCCCTTATGGGGCAAGCAGTGCAAACAAATCTTGTTGCAAGCTTGTGAACAGACTTGCTACAAGTTACGGTATTCTGACGCACGTATTCTTCACGTGTTTGCTATACTAGAGAGCAGAATAGCTCATATATTATAGTGATCGATCAAGTGAGTAGTCATCATATGCTTATATACAATTTTTTACAGTGTAAAGATAGCGTAGTAGCCGCGCGTACAGATGACGGACCGACAAATTCCAAAGAGGTAGTGATACTACATGGATATATATCTGTATATTTTCATCAGATTGGGCAAAAGAAAGAATGATCTCTACACTCTAGACTATATACATTCACATTTTTTCTCAAATACTTCAAAAACTGATATAACGATGTGCAAGAGACAACCAAGGGAAAGCAGGAGAATTAGAATCTTTTTTGATAAGACATGCAGCAGAATTTTTCAATTACTCGTGCATGCAGGCAGATTTAAAATTAGGTATTTTCCGACGGGGCAGGCTTTTTGAAACCTCTTTTTTCAATTTGCCCCAAAGGCGTTATTAGAGTGTGCATATATACATATTTATAACAGGGAAAGAGTGTGAATACATACATGATATCATTTCAGGAAAACTTCACTGAGCCAGGTGAAATGCCATCGGACGAAAAGAGCGTGACAAAAGATGGAGGTGATCACACATACATGCAAAACTACTTAACATCCTGTTTATACTTAACATCCTGTTTCGTACTTAACATCCTGTTTCGTACTTAACATCCTGTTTTATACTTAACATCCTGTTTCGTACAAACGCTAAGTACTTAACAAACGCTGTTAAGTACTTAACAAAATGCGTGTTTCACAAAATTCCTCGCGGGATATTTCAAACGTTCAAACGCGTCAACAATTAAACTAATAGCTCGCGTGATTTAACCGTGTTTTCATTAGTACGTTGCCTGATATAGGGCAATCACCATGCAGGCAAAAAGCCATTTATAAGTTAATTACAAAACATAACGTTTCGACTTTATTATCTTTCTCAAGTCAGTTGTTATTATACCCAGAGCACAGCAGAAATAATTGCTTTCGGTTTATTAACGTCATTTCATGATAATTAAATCTTTATAGGGTCGAATGCAGAAATCTCAAACAGAATAAAAGAAGAAATTCGAGCTTCTTTGGATTCAAAAGAATTAGAATCGTTTTCACATCAAATTGCTGCCGGAATGGTAATACTTTCAAATATACAGTGCTTTACCTAGGTTCTCACATTTAAAGTACTCCCTTTGAAATAAAGTTTCCTTGTTTGAATGCCCCTTTGTTACCTCGCGTCGATAGACATAATTTCGGCTTATAGTTGGTCATGTCGAGCTTATACCACGTGATATCCATTTTTTATCCATATCTGCATAGAAATATATCTCGGACCACGGCATCGTTCATCGTGACTTGGCTGCAAGGAATATACTACTTGGCAAAGACAAAATATTGAAAATATCAGATTTTGGTTTGTCACGTGAAGGAACATACGTGCAAAAACCTGGCGGGAGAGTTCCTTACCGTTGGTTGGCAATTGAAGCAATACAAGAACGAAGTTATTCTACCGCCAGTGACGTGTGAGTATTTACTTTAAAGCCTGCCTTTTCTTTTCCACTGAAGCTATCCCAAAAAGTGTCTCGACCAACCAAAAAGTTCTGTTCCTTATGGTGTAAGTTCAACGTTCTCAAATTTAGTGGTTAACGCTTCTCAGTCGTGGTGTAAATAAACCGGTTCAAAACGTTGACTGGAGGAGAGACAATAGGAAAAAACCCGTCCGGTTATACCGCAGTTAGTAGAATATACATGGTTTGGAGACCACCGATAAAACTACAATACAACTCATTAACTATGTTGAGGTAGCTAGATTTATGCAAAAATTGTTCCTTTCTCATCACATGTCTATTGTATTTTGCACCGACAAACCAATAACAATCCTATAATTAACAATTTTTCAAGTCAAGGTTGAGGAGCTTAGCAAGACGAAAGCCATTGGTAAATTTGGCTAAAATACAATAGACATGCACGTGACGAGAAAGGAACCGTTTTTTGCATAAACCTGAACAAAAAAATAGTGAATGAGTTAATTGTATTGTACTTTTATTTAGTCTCCAACCATGTATATTCTGTATGACTGCATGTCATGTATAATCTGTGTAACTGATTTGTCATGCAACAACTGTCAACTTTATCTCATATAGAAGCATACAACTTAGCAATTTTGGTATGCAGGCGAGATCACGCTAGCTATATAGTATTCAAATTTAATCATATAGTATCCGTAGTTAACGATTACCACGATTTTTGCACCCATTTTAATGATAGCTATAGGGTTTTGCGAGGTAATTTCGACAATTGCGATGTTTGTTGAATACCAGGATTTTATTTATATGAGTTATTCAATACAGGTTTGTTCACTCCTTTAGGTGGGCATTTGGAATTGTCTTGTGGGAAATATGTACATTGGGTAAGAATCTGTCATTTCACCCCCCCCCCCTTATTTTGTACCAAAGTTTTTCAATGTTTCACCTAACCACATGCATCAACGGAAAGGATATAGCAGCATGCAGATGGCTAACATAGATAAGATTCAACACAAGCTTTAAAATTGAAATATCATGCACAATTTTGTTGAAAGCTCGCCATATTTATCTTCATGAAGTTGCGAATGTGCTAGTATGCGGTTATTCTGGCGTTGAGATTTGTATTTTGCGCTATTTTTAAGGAGACACACCGTATTCGACAGTCTCGGACCGGGACCTTAAAGATTTCTTACTCAGTGGAAAGAGATTAGAGAAAGTGGAGAACTGCACGGATAATATGTAAGATGAATCATGCTGCCATGAATGTTGTAATTACTTTCGCAAGGTCGGACTTGGGAAGTTTTGTTTAGTATATAGCCAGAACTGTCTTGAAAGTAAATTGAGCAAAGTTAGCAAACTGTTTGCATCGTTGTTGAGGGGGTGAAAAAAGATATATCGTTTAGTTAAATCTTTTGCTTCTATTTAGATATGAGATAATGTCAAAGTGCTGGAGTCATCTACCGCAAGACAGACCAACATTTGGAGAACTGTACGATAAATTGTGGGAACTACAGAATAAAGGACGTATATATGTCAACGTAGACAGTCTAGTGAAGCAGTCCACTGAAAATGAACGTATGTTGAACATTATTAAGCGACCCGCCCTCGGTAACGAGCATCGCATCTAACGCTGGGAACTGCATGGGGATCAATAGAACGCATTGTGTGACTTAGCATCAAATGTGGTATAACAACTGCCTAAAAAAACCACTTCTCGACGTTTCGACCTGGGGGCCTTCGTCAGGGTAGTATCATATTCAAACTCTCCTGACGAAGGCCCTCAGGGATTAAGGCCCCAGGTCGAAACATCGAGAGGTGTTTTTGTCTATTTTAGGCAGTTGTTATACCACATTTGATGCTAAGTTGTTTGAAGACACTGCCACGCTGCTCCCTGGCTGCATTGTGTGACTGATATAGAATTTTCTCTAACTTTAGGTGATGAAAATTCTGAAGAAATCGGAAAGGTATAATATGAAATCGCCTGAATAGCTCAAAATATCCTTGAATTGTTTTTTTTATACTTTGCATGCAAACGGCCCCCTGAAAATACTTTCCATGCAATTATAATCGCCATTTTCGAACTATTTTTACAAAAGACGGGTGTGTCACAACCCTCCACACCCCTCTAACGAGCGCTCTTACACATACACTATCGGTATTTTTGGCTTATATTTTGAAGGACAGTGACAGCTGCGATGAAAGTGGTGATGACGTTGATTCGCCTAGAAACGAGACTCCATTGATAACTGGCTGAAAACATTTGATCAAAGTACAGAATAAAGTACAAAAAAGAACAAGCCTGCCGCATGCAACATCGAGGAATGAAAATAGCAGTAGATTACGCATGATGAATTGAATTTTTTAGATTAGAGGGTATTGTACTGGCTTTTTTAGAGGGTATTGCACTGGTTTTATATCCTGCCATCGCGAACAATTTCCGTTTAATTAAATCCTGCACCCACCTCGTTTTATTTCAATTTCCACTTTTCAGGTTGTAGAATAGAATATGGAAACTATGTAACTTTGAGATATGTAAACTAAAATACACTATAGTCGTTAGACAAACACATGTTCTTGTTCTTGCGCGCATGCGCTAAAAGTACTTAACTATATGAACTATATGTGTTACTGAAATGTTCATATATCTTGATACTGTTCAAAGTATAGCTAAGATTTAGGACATATTGAGGAGAACAATAAAGTATTATAGGAGCATTATAGGAATATAATTATATAACAAGAAAACTGATGATCAACGATCACGTATCAACAACAAAGCCAGACGTATACTGATAAAACACGGCTGGAAGCCATAACGATAAACTGACAAGCAAAACTCCAACATCACGTTACGTTATCTCCATAACAAACTCGCTGACGTGCATATGGAAGATTTAAAATCTCGCTTCCCGATTACCGCTCGAAAATTTTGCCCATCCTGCCATTCCGTAAAAGTAACTATAGTGCAAGACACTGGTTTTTATTTATGTGAAATTCGTTACAGAGATGCCCTGCCGTTTTGAATGGTTGTCGCCGCCCTAAGAGACGTTAATTATAGTTCGCTTTGTCTTTGTGCATGTTCATACTCATCGATAACATCAATATATACTCAACTGAATACAATATGTGCGTATATTGGAAAACGTGGCAATTTCTTTTGCGTTAATGTCTTCTACGACCGGTTGATAATGCAATTCGTTTGCATGATGATGTGTATTTTCAATTTCACGTTTTTTTTTCAATGAGTGCATGTGATCACAAGATCCCGTCCACACGTATCCGTCGCTGTTACGCTTACGCCTATATTCAAAAAGCACACTCACACTCATTGAGTGGGACATATATGAATTTTGTTAATGCTGATGAATGGAAAGTTTTTTCTGAATAGATGGAAAGATATAAGATTAATCACTGAAAATCAAGCCCCTGTTCGGCTGGAAAAACCGCCATTAAAACGTTATGAGAAGATTAAGATCTCCCACTCAATGAGTTTGAGTGTGAGTGAGCTTTTAGAATACAGCCGTTAGCATCCACACGTATGTCCGGCGAAAACGCATAGCGTAACTGCAAGCTTTTGGAAACGCTCTCCAGGTCTACGCGGACCGAACGATGTCAATGCGAGGCGATATTTGAGTTTTCAGAAGCATGTAAATTGAATTCTGCATGGAAGCAAAATTTGGAATCTATGGACGCCAAAGCAGTCAAAATGTATCATCGTTAAGTAATCCACAAGAATTTATAAAATTTATATATGCACGCATGTTGTTAAAAAATTCAAAACTTTGAAAAATCGTTGCCAAAAATCGCGTCCTTTCCGCAACGATTCGAAAAATATGACTAAATATGTGAAATAATAGTTGAAATAATAGTGAAAGTTCATACAAACAAAATCAAGACACATTCTAAATTGTAGAATCACAGCGATCACGAAAGCAATTCTAGCGACCAGCGTATTCAGACATGGTTTTAAAACTCACGTGATGTTAAAGCATGCATGGATAATAAAATCACTTTTAACCATCCATGGTTAAAGCGAGCACGTTTGAATACTATTTTAAAACCAATTCAAATTTCGGCTGTTCGTTATAGCATAAAATTTGTGGATTTTCATTTCAAATGAACACTAATATGTTGGTCTTTGACATAGCTGTTAAACTTTTTTAATTAAAAGAATTTAAGAAATAGAAAACATATTCCGTGTTTCTATACATTTATAGAAACACGCGTGGGAGTTTGGGAGAACGAAAAATATTCAGTGAAAACGAACGAGAAATAATCAGAAACAATCACGTTATTTCGAGTTCTGCCAGACTCCCACAAGTGTTTCTATAACTGTATAGAAACACAGGAAAAAATATTTTGTATTTCTTTTATAATATAACTCAATAAAAAGATTTTGTACAAATATTATAATTCGGATTCAATTACAAATTCTCATTAAATCGCTTCGCTTGTCAAGTTCGGCGGGAAAATTCCCGTGTTTCTATACAGTTATAGAAAAATGCTTCTCGACCAATCAGAACGCGCGCACTGTAAATGTAATATTATAAATTTATTTGCATACGCGGATACGTGTGCATGGTACCCGAAAACAAACGCTAAACGAATGCGGATACGTGCATTTAGACCACCTGGAGAGCCAGCAGGCAGCAGTCCCAGCACGCATAAATTTAGTTCTGATATTAAGCAAGCATTGTAGCTATAAATTATAATCACACGTCGCTTTCCGGTATTGGCATTGCAATTCACGAACTGCGTGCAGATTTACGACCTGAAAGACTAAATGATCATCGCACATTATCAACAATGAGGTACTTTATGTAATATGTAGTATTAAACGACAAAGGGAAATGTTTAAAGCATTGTATTTACAACTATAATAGTTAACACGTCTTCCTCTTTATATAGATGCATGCGTGTTTATCGACTGTGGGTCACTATTGAAAAAACAAATCCCGCGCGTCATATATAAAGCGAAACATGCAGTATAAAGTGATCGTTTACTTCATACAATGCCCATCGCCGACTGACGGTTACATAAATAGACAAGCTTTACAATATGATACATGCATGTTCCTGAATATAACGGAATGCATATATGTTTGCTTTCATGCGTTTGAATGCATCTGTCACTATACGTATATTGGGGCTGAGAATATAAGAACGCATCAATGGATGCATGAATGAATGAAAAGGGCTTTTCAGAATCAATATATATATATATATATAATATATATATATATATATATATATATATATATATATATATATATATATATATATACTACAATAATTGCGAAATGTATTTTAAAAAGCTTAAAGGTTAGAACTACTATGCTAAAACTATATTTACATTGTCTATTTAAATATGAATCATGATTTGTATCATTGTTGCCCACAATGATATGAAATTTATCTCTGACATATAGTCGACGATATATTGATGAGGTTTGTTTTCCATCTCAGCGCCTGATGGCTGGCTCACCAGGCCCTTTTTCTAATAATCTGGAGTTCGGTCTTCTTACGCAGTAGATTCAATCTTAAACTGCCTGATAAAAGACATATTGGCATGTATAGCTTCCAGCTCCACCGACGGCGACCGAACACATAATCCAAAAATGTCCGCATTAATCATTGCTTTATATATTCTAAAAAACTCCGGTATATACCGTTACTGCCTGTATACCTCACTATGAATGCCTTATCCTTCATCGGTGAGCTAATTTTCATTAGATTCCTATAGTTCCCATTACTATATTGCTGTATCGCGAAACTGACAAATTATACGGTTACTGAGTTATGAGAGCTGGCTTCATGCCTTAAGACAGCGGACGAACACATTGCATTTGCATTGCAAAATAATAGAGTTGTTGTTCGCCGGCATAAATATGTTTTTGGGTGACTCTGAACCCATTTTAAAGTAGCGAGGGCTAAAACTGATGTGTTCTGCAAGGAGGGTCAAAACACATTATATTTATGCCCAAGAATATAAACTTTATTGCCAATATTCTAACTTTAAAGGGCAATTTTTGTATAAAAAAATATGCTATCGCGGTAAACACTTCAGTCATTCTCACTCTCAGTCTGATAAGTCGCTTAGATCAGCAGGCTAAAATATATTTCAAATTTGTCTTTTTAGCCCGCAAAATACACCACAATGCCCGCCAAAAGTTAATATTATAAAATATAATATAATATAGCATTATACCAAATATAACGTAAGTGAATTCAAATATTAAATTATACGAATAAGGCAAGCTCGTGCATCTTATCTCATTAAATTATAGTTCTCGGTTTTATGTTTATTACTTATACATGCTGTCGTTTTTCTCGTAGAAATTTAACTCCGCGATGAATCTTTGTCGACGAGTTTTTCGTTTTTTTGTTACGGTTATTGTGTTATGCGAGGCCCTTGAAACGTTTCATATTCAAATTCAAATTTCACAATGTGTGAACAACTGTAATAAAAAGGTAGGTGTAAATTAACTATAATGCAAGTGAATTTTGCAATATTTCGTTCGGTAATTGATGTTCTATCGCTCTCTCACATGATCGAAATTTTATCAACCTATCTGGTATATATATATATATATATATATATATATATATATATATATATATATATATATATATATATATATATATATATATATATATCTTTGTACATGAACGCTCATATCAAATCCATCGCGGTGTATACGTCGGATTGCCTCGCTTCAAGGAATTTGCAACACATTTCTTTATCCGTCATATCGAGAGTAAACTATTAATAAACAATTACTCCTAAAAAATAAAATAGATACCTCTCGACGTTTCGACTCAACAGCCTTCGTATATAAGGAGAATGTTTTGTAAATTTTTACTTTTTGACCAGTTCTTAACCACATTTGATGAGAAGTTATGCGCGACCGAAGACGCTACCATGCACGTTGTATGGTTATACAATAAAAATATAATGAACATGCAATTAGTTAAATTATTGTTATTCGGTGGGAAAGTTTCGTGGCATCGATGAAAAGAAAAATATTTTATCAATTGACATTCGCCTAAAATGTGTTTATCTAAATCGTCAATGGTGTATTTTATATAGGAACCTTACAGTTTACACTTGCGATTTTTGCAGCAATTTTATGTGCGATTTTCTTCTTTTGATAGATGTGAACGAGCGGTTAATTAGTTAGTTACACATGTTCAAATAGGAGCCCGTGCACATCACATGCAGAATTCGTAATTAGCTAATCACTCGTTCACTGCGGTTCACATCTATCAAAAATAAAAAATCGCACATATAAAATCGCAAAAAAAAATCTCAAGTGTATAAACGGGCCTTTAAGCCGGTTTTCCACTAGCGATATTTTTCGCGCGAAGCGACATTTTACTTTTGTTTCAGAGCTATCAACTGCAACCATCTGGAACAAATTGCTCAAATACAAAGGAATAAAGTCGCTTCGCGCGAAAAATATCGCTTGTGGAAAACCGGCTTTAGGATACGCCAAATGTACGACGCGGACGTGACATGAAATCAGCCGGTAGTGCATGTTAAGAACCCAGCTGCAGTTTAATTCAGTATAGTTTATTTTACATACGTCGCTGGTTTTGTTTATACCAAAAGCAGTCCGTATATAATTTTTATTCCTGTTGTGAAACTGTAGAAATGCATGAAGACAGAATTGATTCACGTCCGCGTCGTAGTTTTGGTGTATCTTAAAGTCCCTACATACATAATTTATAAATAGGCAGCAACTACAAATTTCCGAATCCACACTCTTTTTCTGAGGTCGCATGTCACGCTTGCTTGCCATGGCAACTAATTCAGTGATTTGTCTAGATGTGTCGCTTAATAATACAGTCACTTTCAATGGAAATGTTTTGAAATTCAAATACATTTTCAAATTCATTTGAAATTGTATGTATACTATGTATATAGGTTGTAGTAATGTATGTATATATAGTATGTACCTGCATGCGCTCTTAAATGGCCGTTTCTAAAGCTCCATGCAGATTAAAAAAAATGCAAATTTTAACTGAAATTTTTTGTGCCCTCCCCCCAGTCCGCCGCTATGGCAGTATATAAAAAGTTAATCAATGCCGGTCTCGATATGTGTATTTCTCCCACTTGAATTGAGTGTCAACAGTTGGTTTATAGCTGTTTGAAGTTATTCAGTCCTCGCTATACGGCCGCTAGCTCATCTCGTCTGCTGCCTTGTTCGAGAGCTCCGCATTAATTTCACGATGCACTTTTGCGAACAAGCATTTTGTCTCCTGATTACGGTGATTATATTATGTGGGGCCCTTGAGGTAAATATCGAAGGATGTGTGAAAGATTGCGAGAAAAAAGTAAGTAAAACTTTGTTTATAAACGACACTCAAGCGGTCAGTACGAGCTAGTATACTACCTGTGTCGATCACGAAAGTTAGGTCATACTTTAAAGTATTATCCTTAAGAGGAGTGGGTTCATGCTTTACTGCGGTTTGATTAGGAATGCTATCCGAAATATAGCTACTAGCTACTCAGATGATCTGAGTAAAAGCAACATTAATTAGAAAAACATGCAGATTTGCGCGCTTTAACCCAAAACGTCAACTTTTGGGTTAAAGCTTTTAAAGCAAAACAAAACTTTTTTGTTTTAAATTTGTCACGGTCTTCAATTAATAGCTTTATTCTTATAGCCTTAGAGCACTTCTGCGCGGTACCGCAGCGAGCAACTTTATAATTCCCGCTTTCGTTCCGACGTTCCCGGCCTTTTGATGCATGTCTTGGTAAATTTTCTACCCCCGCAAGAAATAACAAAATAAAAAAACACGTTATCACGACACAAGAAGTATATACAGCGTATGGGCATCATCTTCATCATGCATTCAGTCGTGTAAATCCATCTCCATCCGGTGGTCTGTTGCGTGTAAGAGGCGCTTGCATGGCTGCTGGCACGGATCACATACTTAGCTAAATAAAAACCACGATTGCGTGGTTGTAATTCAATTTATTGCACTAAAGTAATGTTACTATTTGTCGGATACATATAAAACAAAATGTTGACACCGCTATTTCTAAACGCAATTAGACTGTAGTTATGCCTGTATTTTAAAATCCGGAACCACAATTTAAAACAGTTGGAAAGTCTAAAATATAGACTAAATCAAGGCGACAAAAGTGAGGTAGAAATATTTCGTTTTTATTTCAAAATCATCGATCATTGGATTGTGTTTTGTTTTATACCTGCATATGTATGAATTTGCATACATGCTTCTAGCCATTCTGGCGCTTGCCCTAGAACTCTCCTTTTTCTGGATACATGCAACAAAAAAATGCTTTTGTAGTAAACTGCCACGCCGTACGGCGTCTGGGCCTGTGTACTAGCTTTTTCACGATTAAAATTTGGGTGCTCTTTATGCTCGCGGTGTATATAACTTACGTATACTTTCAATTTGAAACTTGCTAATTGTTTTGCGGTTGGTAATACTATATAATATATATAGCTATATTATCAAAATATGTATGTATATGATCCTTTTAAAGTTTTAAAAAAATTAGCTTCATAAACGTGTATACATACTGCATGCAATAAAAAGAGTTTTTATCATGTAGGCTCGCGCTGTGAAGTAGTTTGCGGACAAAGGATGTTCGTTATTGGCTATATATTGGCCTATATATCAAAATGTGCATGCGAACCAAATGAGGGATTAAAATAGATTATTTAAAATAATGCATTTGACGCTTATATATGCATGCAAATGTCTGCGCCGTTATAAAAGCATCACGCCATCAGCCATAAATATCGATATATTATCGAACAAGCTCAGTACTGAAAGGCGGTATATCAATTATTAATCTCTAAAGAATGGATTATTTAATTGACCGAGAAAATTATGGGTTGCAAAGTAGCAATGTAGCTAATGTTGTAGTTGCAAAGTAGCAACGTAGCTGTTATAGTTGACATGAATGTTTTCCTATGCGCCTTCTGTTTGGTCGAAAGGCGATGCTCGGGACATATTTTTTCCGAACCTTAAATAAATATTTAGGCGAAACAAAACGTCAGTTCGAAACCTTTTTAAAAGAACATGCATCAGATTATTTAAGGATCAGGGTTGTAATATCAGATCACCCCTGACCGGAGTGTCGAAACGTTGGGTGGGAAATGTGATCTTTCGGTGATGATTAATTTATTGAAAACCAGAATCGAGATAATGCATAGTCGACTTGCACTTTACGGACTAATCTTTAATCGAAATGATAATAAGAAAGTATAGCGCATGTCGTCCACTGCGCATGCGATTTATTATGTACCTATATACTTGCTGCATGTGAACTTATTAACTTCAACCCCGCTATGACACGTACATGCATGTGCATTGGCTATTCTTATTTCTTTTTGTTTTATCATCAGTTCGTGAAATATCCAGTTTTCTGCGAAACGAAATGTCTTCAGGAGTATCTTGGCTCCCACGTGAAAAAAGGTCAGTAAAATTCAACGGAACATGCAACATCTTTAAAATCCATTATTTGAACCTGTACCATGCAATCAATCAAGCGATGAATTACATGCATTAACCTTACCACGGCCCCCAATTGCAAGGCACTCCATCTAGCGTCAAAAAGTAATGATTTTCCTTTTCATTTTGTATATAGCCATTGAAAAGTTTGAAAGTGCTGGTGGTTTGCGAAAACTAGCAGCACCAAGTCTGGTTGAAGCTGGGTGGCAGAAAATACGAGTGCAATTCAATACAACAGAGCTGAAGAACCACAGTGAAGTTGATTATATCTTAGAAGTTAAGCCATTATGGGGTCGTCAAGAGAGAGGCCAGTACTTTGTTGTATTTCCTTACACAAAGAAATACTTCCTTGTAAGTTCTCATTATACCAGCACTGATTACAATTTCCCACGACCTAACAGATATGGTTGTTTATTTGAAAATTAATACGCTAAAACATTCCAAATTCAAACTAAAAACCACTACTTTCAATTGACTGGACATGCATGACAGACATATACACAAAAATCCGATTTAAAAAAAAAACAGTAACAACATTTTGTTTAGAGATGAGGTAAAGTCCATGCTAATAACAAATTGAGCAAGAGTCAAAAAGTGGAGACTCTATCTTTGACTTAAGAAGACACAGCTCTATAATATTACTTCAACAGGCAACTGCATGCATGTCGCGACAGTCGCGTCGCCTAAAATGTTTGTTATAAGCAGAAGATATATAGGGAGTATACTTCACATCATCTATGTATGATGTAAGTTCATTCTACGTCTATCTTCTGCATGCTCATATAACAAATTTAGCATCATTTTAGCGTCGTGACATGTAGTATAGCTAGGAATAAAAAATATAGAGCTCCTTTTATGATTTTAATTCAATTAAAATTCCGAAGGTGGGGATCATCATACATAATGTGTATCATCCGCAAATACATAGCAGATTTTAAATACTTGTTTGTATATATATATAGTTATGTTATATGTTTCCGCTTTTTATATAATACAGACCAATCATACAAAATATACAATTGAAGACCTTGAACCGAATACTGGTTATAGAGTCAGAGTGATTGCCCTAAAACGTGACGGATCGTCAACATTTAGTTTCTGGAGTAGTAACATAAATACAACAGGTATATATAAGTAAAAACTTAAAACTTGCATACTATCCAGCTGATCTGAGATCATGACGTCATAAAGCGTCTCAACAAAACTGAGTTATCATGTGCCTGGTGTTATTTGTCCTTATTCTTCGAACTAATAGTATAACTGTATAAAGAGTGAAAAATTAAAGTCAGGCTGGCAACGCCACTCAGGACGGAAACGCCGGCACATGCAGGTCTCATATACTAGCATTCTATATGAGTTAAATGCAGGCTTGCATGGATAGCTCCGTTTCATTTGAGAAGATGTATAGAGTGTATGGTTATATGCTGTTATATTTCACTTAAACTTGCATGCTGTAACATTTTCATTTCATAACTATTGTGGCTTGTGATCTTTATAATTGATGAAACACGTCACCAATTTTTATGCGGTATATATTTGAGTTCAATAACGTTGCATGCTCTTTATTGAAACTCTTGCATGTAAACACGCTTTCCACTGATTTCGAAGACGTCTCATGCAGTTATCATAGTCTCCCAAAAAGGGCTTGTGATTTAAACAGATTTAACTAGTTTGGATTTCTCTGCATTGTATAAGACTCGAATCAAGATCCACGCATGTAAGAGATTGCTGCTTATCGTGGGAAATAATGAGCGTTTTTCACACCCTAGTTACTGTCTCACATGGTTTCTCTCAGATACATGAACATATACTTGCATTTTTTAGAACTTTGTGAAAAACCTCCGTGTGGTGTGACGAATATACGCTTGGAATTGACGACAGAGATACCTAGTTATCACACAGGTCCAAAGAGTGTTGATATAGGATCTATTTTTCATTGGACCCCAAGTACTACGTGTATGTATATGACATAAACGTCGCAAAAATAAGTTGTGTGATTATTTGTATATAACCCGATTTTGAGTTAAACCATAAGCAGGTCTAGATTTGTATATATACTCTGAAGTTGTCAATCTCTTTTTAGTCAATGAAACAGGCAAGATTCACGTTCTCCGAAACTTTTCCCAAATAAGTGAATGTATTGCATACTATTATGATAAAAGAGATGTCCAATCTGAAGAAAAAAATGTTTCGATCGTAAGTATATATAATGTTACAGTTATAATATAATGTTATTAATAATTATGTATAAAGTTAAAGGTTAATTATCTATTCAATTGATACGAAAACCTATAGGCTTAAAATGATCAATTTTTTGCGGTTGCATGAGTAGCGTTTAAACACGAGAAAGAGCGTTTTATCAAATTTCATCAAAACACGAGGCGCAACTGAGCGTTTTAGATATGATAAAACGCTAATTCAAGTGTTTTAAATTACTTCAAATACGTCGCATTGTTGTCGACCAATAAATTTGCTCCATGCATACAATGCTAATTAGGATGAAACATTATATTGATACTAATGAACGTGACAACTTATATAACTTGTGCCAACCTAATTAGTATTTAGCATGCATGGTACTTTACTTACTTGTATTTAAACGCATGATCATAATATTTTTCTCATACCTTCACCGAAACGGAAAAGGCAAACTTCAGCAAAGATGATGAATCAAAATCCCTATACTATAATTGTTGGTACAAGCTGAGCGTATGTTTTAAAATATTTGTATTCTCCTATTCCTATAATCTCTGGTATTCATGCAAGTTGCGACATATATTAAAAATCGAAAATGTCCCTCCCGTTCTCCCGAAAATGTTACTCCCAAGTAAGGCTATACCCTGTACACACGCTCCAACAGACTTTCTACTGAAGTTTTCTTGCGAAATGTTGTAAAACTTATCAAAGTATCACTCTCGCTATGTTTGCTAATAAGCCTATAATATGGCATATTTTTTGTTATGCGTCAAAAATTGACATGGCCACCTTCCATAAAATGGTATTGGGTCCATTGTGAGGTTTTTATATTCTATAAAGATGGAGGCTGTGGATGGTTCTCATGTACTGCCGGCTACACTCCCCCAAACAAAAAGGAGCTGGATTTTCCACGTACCTGGTAAGTTTAAAGGCTTTCTCAATGAAACAAGGCATGATTCCTGAGCAAACAAAAGTATGGTTAGAAGCATTAACCTCACATGTTCTTAAGTTTTCCGCTTATTACCTGACCTGATTTTCTTGTTCATTCTTTAATGAAAACATGGTCATAGTCAAATGAAAAATCTCTATATAATTATACAAATTTTTTACAGAATGTATAAAAATCAGTAACATTAGAATGTGCGGATGTACATGTAAGTATTATTACCATAACTAGCTAAGGTATTAGTATACAAAGCATATAAAGTAAATATAAAATACAAAGTAATTAATATAATTATGCTGTAGACTTTCGGTACCCTAAAACATGAATTTATAACTCATGGTATACTGCATGAAAGCTGGAGGCAGCCTTTTAGCCAAAGGCTTGAACGAAATCTTTCATATGTGTAATTATAACAACATTTAATTATATCTAATTAAATTAAATTATACATTTAACTATATCTAATTTAATTATGTCTAATTTTGTTAAATATGTTTAATTTAATCATGCTCAGATGAATACGGCCAGGTGGTTAACATAAGGACCGAGTTGAACGCGACTTTCGAAAGAGACACATCAAAGACTGCTACTGGGTATTTTACTTGGAGTGATAAAATGTGGAGAAATGGGAACAATTTGACGTACTTACAGTTCAAATTATCTAACTCTGATGCCGAGGAGGTTTTATACAAAAAATTTTACAACGCATCATCTAAGGTAAGCGATGGATATGCCACATACATATAAAGTACATACATTCATGCATATATAGTAGCAAGATATATTTTGTTCAAGCTTTCATGATAAACTCTTCACGTTTGATGCTTAGAGGCTACAAGAGTTAATTAACACGTCATATTGTATTATCATAAGTGTCTATCATGTTGATCGTTTTATAGGTTTTTCAACATAACGCAACAGTTTCTAAATTAAACATTGAAGATACACAATATTGGATATTGGTATATATTATCATAATTATTAAATGTTTTGGCGTTCGGTATTGCTGTATATTTTTACCAGTTCACGCAGGTCCAACTTAGCTAAGTTTCTCCCACTCGTGCAGGCTCATATTGTCAGCGGACAACTTACACAAAATTGAGAGCAAGGCGTAAAACGAAAAGCTTCTAATTTTTCATGCGAAGACCGCTGGAAAACTGAGCCCTCTTTACCGGGAGAAAATTTGCCGAATATGACCAACGTGGTTGTGATATGTAATTTGACGAGCATTTCTATATTTGTATATTTTTGGAAATTGATATTTACTCTGCATGCATCATTTTTTTACAGATTACTGGATATACGAATCACCACTGTGAATTTAAAAAGAGGCATTCTGTGTCGTTTAAAAGTAAGTAGTTATATATAACATGCATGCATGTTTTCGTTCGAATTATAGGCAGTACTGAAGTTATATATCTGCCTATAATATGGTCCAGTTTTGTGATTGGCTTTTTGTAACAATAGTGAGCAGTGTTTATGATTATTTCTTTTGAAAATCAATTTCTATAGATGAATTGAGAGCAATCAAATATAGAACTAATTCACTTATGCGAACAAAAATAAAATCAAAATATATGAATGCAGTAAACTCTATCATGCAGTGTTTCCCTTTTGACCTGATGCAAACTGTCTCTTTGATTGAGCTGTGGGGTTTTTGTAGTTTATCTTCCATGCGAGAACTACACCTGTGCCAAAGCAAATAGCACCTGTCATCGTGTAAGTAACTTTGGGTCGAAGGCTGAATGCAGATGTAACAACGGTTTTGTTGAGAGTGGAAATAAATGCATTAGAGGTAAAAATACCTTTCATACTTCAACAATAATTATGTAATTTACGGCCGATATAGTTATGCGACCAATTCAGTGTATATGCGAAGTCTAAAAAAAATCAACGTCCGTGGATATGGAAAAAGTCTGGGCAAGACTGTCAGATCATCACAAAAGAAAAATAAAGGTTTTCAACATGAATCTGTGATCCCTGTTATATAGGAGAAATAATAAGTGTTAGGAGAAATAATGAGTGCATGTTAGGAGAAATAATGAGTGTTAGGAGAAATAAGAGCGCTGCGATATAGCAAAATTATATGCATGTCCCGATCCCAGAGCAAGGCAGGAAGTGAATTTCCCCTTATCGTGGGGGATATATAAAAATGACCTGACCCGTACTAGGCGGGTTGCATAAGATCGTCACGCTATATGGACTGGGAGTGATATATGTTAGAAAGATCCTGCTGATCAACGGGGACCGTGAAAATGGCCTCTAATTTGGGCCGCAGAAAGCATCAGTCTAAAATTTAGAAATTCGAAAAGAGCTATTCATCTATAGACGTTTACGTTTTTCAATGTTTTCAGTATATAATCTTTGCATATAATCTAGATAAAAATCCATGTGAAATAAACCCTTGTGGGGCAAATGAGAAATGTATACCGAATCAGGAGGGAGGACGTCTTTGTGTAGGTAAGATATGTTATATATACGGTATATACGTTACCAGTATAATAATGTTCCCAATATCTACGAAGCACTGCAAGCTCACGCGCATGCATGTGAAGGATTTACGGTGTTGGGATTAATGCATATATAGTACGGAGGCGGATAGAGCTTACCACCAGGCGGATAGTGTTTTTTTCAATCGAGATTCCGTTTTTAGGAATAACTTTGCATGTATGACTATAATCTTATAGTATTCTTAAATTGAGGATCCGGCCCCTTTTACAATTGTTGGTTCCAAAGCTGAAATTTTATTGCTTTTCAAACATTTTCAGAACCGTTTAAAAAACTCCTTTATGGCGGATAGGGCTATCGATCCATGCAGCCTTCGTACAACCGGTCTCAGAACTAGGATTTAACTGAGTTGTACATTTTTTAATTTTTCGTCGTAAACATAGTCACTAGTGTGTTTATACATCCAGTCAAAATTAAACATACAAATCTTCTACGTGGAAATACCGCCATGGAAACGTGATGAAAAGATTAAGATCAAATCAATTAATGAGTTGAGCGTGAGTGCATGAGCTTCTAGAATACAAGCGTATATGTATCGCATTTCTCGTATATATAATGCACCATGTAATTTGTTCGTATTTTTTTAGAAAAAGAGGAAAAGGTGGCAAGTAACACAGGCGTTAATTTATTTGCTGCAGTTTTTACACCGGTCGCTGTGATTGTAATTGCTGTATTCCTCATTGTTTGCTTAAGAAGACGTCACAGGAGGCAAATGACTTTTATAGAAAAGGAATTTGAATGTGCTATGGTTGCTATGAATTTAGATAGAACCATCGATGTAAGATCGTAAGTATTTGTTATATTTCATCAAAAAATCACAACAATGAAGTGACCGTTCTAAATTTAAAACGGTAACGTTGTGACGCATTTATCGAAAGGATCTATTACGTTCACGTGCATGAACTTACTTTCAATAAAGTATGGACCCCTGAGCTATATAATAATTCCTATAATTATTATATAGCTCAGTGGTATGGACATACGATATAAAGAGTATGAGGTTCATGAAAATGACATCAATGTGGACACACATGCGCAGTATGATACTACAGGACTTCATATAACATGAATATTATACTACATATTATTGACTGGACATGAATTATATCTTTCTTATGGATTATATAGTGTTGACCCGGAGATTTTGAGAACCGAGGCGGACGGAAGAGTGATGAATTTGATTTACGTTTCCCAAGACAACATTTACGAGATTCCAGAATATATATTGGAGCCGATTAGTCGATATGAACTTCCTCCCGATTCTGTGCGATTTCACAAAATGATTGGCAAAGGAGCGTTTGGCAGAGTATACGCTGGTGAAGCCCATGGAATTAACGGCAATCCTGAAGTGACAGCAGTTGCGATAAAAACACTAAAAGGTTGATATCCCAGACACTTTTTAAAGATGGATGGTAGTACATTGTCATTCAGTTTTTTATAAGTGGTTGCAATTACTGCTGCTGTACCTATACTGAAAATGCATTCTCTACAACGTGGCTGCTGTTAAGAAAATAAACAAATATCTAGCCGAAATCATATATTAAACGTATGGCTTTACGCATGACGAGTTTATGGGTGGATTTATGATTTATCCGTCCCTCTATCATGAAGGAATACAATAATTGTGTTATAATTATGCTTGTTACTTGCAAATTAAACTCAAAAGAGATTGGTCAGTCTTTAATCACCCGCGGACTCTGAAAAGGCGCAGCGTTCGTTATAAACTTTAAAGACAGTAAAATTTATTTCTAGGAACATCGTTAAAGTCGAAATTTGAATAACATATACGCCATAGTGTATCATCATGTGCAACTCAAAGATAAAATAAGTGATTGTCAATTCATTTCAGAATCTGCCAATGAAGAAGACCTCAGCAATTTTTTACGGGAAATCGATTTAATGAAAGACCTTGGAGGACATGAAAATGTCATTAATATGTACGGTTGCTGCACAAAGTGTCGTCCAATATGCCTAGTCTTGGAATACGCCCCAGGTGGAAATTTGCTTAATCATCTGAGAGCTCTTAAAAAGAAGGTAAAACATGTCTCACCAATCAAACATGCAGGTGTATATGTTATAAGATTGCATGGCGTGATCAGTGCTTGTATTGATTGACGCTGGTGATCCATTTCGTAAAGTTTGTTTTCTATTGCTCGATACATTATCATTCTAATCATCAATCAGTCGATCAATCAATCAATTTATCAATCAAACAATCAATCAATTTAATAAATTGCCTATTTCGTGAGGAATCAAGCTAGTGATTAAAAATTACCTATTGCTTACCGATATCTCATTTATAATTTGGAACCGAAATCTCCAGAGTATTCCTCATTGCCTACTGAGAAAAATCAATTTATTTTTGCTACTAAAGTCATCAAATGGCAGAAGAGCTGATATAAATATAGCCTTATATACGACCATAGTCGCGACCACAGCGAAACAGAGAAATTTCTTGATTGAGGACACCAAAGGTGAAGAAGGAGCTTGCTTAGAAGCGGGAGGACTGGGGAGCCTGAATGGGAAATTTTTGGGACCCGGCGTCAAGTATATATAGCACTGATTGAAATATACCACAGTTCGATTCATTACCAACAGGAAAATTATTGGAATATATTCTTATTCTTTTATAGTGTAACGATATCGTAGCTGCGCGCACAGACAATGTGACAAACTCCAACAAGGAGAAGGTATTGATATCACGCGTACGTCTGTATGTTTCTGCATGTTTGTTTGTTAGTTTTATTTCATAACTGATTAAAATCATGCTCATTTTGCATGCAATGTATGCAAGAATTTACTACATAACATTTACAACTACCGGTTATTAACGGAACGTTGTAAGCGTGCAGTTAACAGAAAGAAAGTGACGTGTGACATTCAATGGCCAGTAAATGTGGTCATTTGACCGCGTGCATGTAAGCTCATGTAATTATAGTTGGCAATAATCGGAATTATAAAGAAAGTCGCTTGTTCTTCTTCATTTCAAACTGCCATAACTATTATAATCTAATTTCTATATTGTATTGACAATCATTTCATATGTGTATTTTAAAATTTCATGTTTTTTCACGTATTTTTACATCGGACACCTCCCCAAATCTTTCCATTTATTGAATCGTTAAGAGTTATAACTATTATACCATAAATCAATTGAAAATGTTTCCAGGGATACTTCCAGAATGCCAGAAAGCTCGGTAAAAACCCAGAAGACTCGGAATCTTCTTTACTTCTACGAAAAAGCCACGAAAAACAAGAGGAAGTCGAAAGAATAAAGCAAGATGAATGTAATTACACCATTAATAAACAATTTGTAGGAAAACCACTCATGCATGCACTTATCTACAAATCATTTGATACGTTATGGTGGTTTTCCACCAGGCGGAATTTTTCGACCGGACGGAATTTTTTGCTCGATTTTCTTTTCAATTGTGACCGGTGAAGGGAATCCGCTACGGTCGAATTCTCGCAATTGAAAAGAATATCAGACGAAAAATTTCGTTTGGTCGAAAAATTCCGCCTAGCGGAAAACCACCATTTACCCACGTTAAAATACACGTGGTATATATATAGCAAACTGTTAATTCTAAATTCGCTATGCATGCAAAATTACATAGCATAGATACAATACGATTTCGAATACAGACCAGTACCACTTGCATAATAGACCAACTAGTGATCTACGTAACAAGTCTCACAGGTAAAGTTAATATCATGAGAGAAACTCTATTGAACCAGGCCTAAATACAAGAGCATAGCGCAAGTGAGTGAATGAATGATTTATAATTGTCATTATTTTGATATCTGTATAATTTATGCATATAATTAGATACAAATGCAGAGATCTCGATCAGAGTAAAAGAGGAAATCCGAGCTGCTTTGGATTCAAAAGAGCTGGAGTCATTTTCGCATCAAATTGCTGTCGGAATGGTAATGGTTGAGTAAATATATATACCATATCTTTTTTCAAAACATTAAAAATTATGTGCGTCTTAGAGATGCATTTCGGCCGCGTCAAGTATAATGATAAATATAGGTGATAATGGTGATTAATGACGTTTTTCTTATTGCATTTAAGGATAGTTGTTTTACTCAGTGGTGCCGCTAGAGTATTTTCAGGGGAAAATTATACAAGAATAATCAGATTTTAACTCTCCCACTTTTTTGAAAAATTGTTTTCCTCCCTCCTTCTATAATTGAATCTGAGAACCTGACCCCCCTCTCTTTTATCAATTTGAATGCATACACCACAAACAAATACTAATATAAAATAATTGTCATCCGCCATACATGCAATAATTATTACAATTTACAAACTCATATAACTTGGAAGCAGTTTTTTGCGGATATTCCCGGTTTCAAGTCCGGATCTAACGAGAAAGAGTGTTTCTATTCAAGATGACAACTAGCTACCTAAAATATGTTTATCATTATGTATAACATATTAATGCATGAACATTTGGGATGTTTATGCTATTGCATTTATCTGGATTAGAGGCATATCTCGGACCATGGCATTGTTCATCGTGACTTGGCCGCAAGAAATATACTACTTGGGAAAAACAAAATTTTAAAAATATCAGATTTTGGTTTGTCACGTGAAGGAGCATACGTGCAAAAATCTATCGGGAAAATTCCTTTCCGGTGGTTGGCAATTGAAGCGATACAAGAACGAAGTTATTCTACCGCCAGTGACGTGTGAGTATTTACTAGCTTGAAGGAACTGCATGGGCATTCTTAATATATAAGTTATCTAAGTTGGGGTGACGCTTCGCGGCCTCAAGACTCATCACGCAATGTGAAAAGGGCAGATAGTAACGCTCCTGATTAGGATGGGTTTATGCAGAGAAAACTATGTGCATAATTATAACATTCAGAAATGCAGCTTCGAGCTATCGAAAGAAGATTGCCGCAACTTTCTTTGTCCCTTTACGGACAACTTTCGTAGCACCATGGCCGAGAGTAGGACGAATTTTTACGTCATTCAAAACTTTTGCGAACTGGAATTTGAATACCAAAATCGATACAATATTCTTATTCTTAATTCTTTCTACTTTCAGATGGGCGTTTGGAGTTGTTTTGTGGGAAATATGTACATTGGGTAAGTGAAGTATTATGCTTGGTATCAGAGCCAAGCGATGCTTGGCAGAATTCTTTACATGCATAATTAATAACACACAACATAATTGTCACTTGACATACTCCTCCTTGGAGAAAGTATATTTTCACTATTTGTTTTGTGACCAATGTTCAGCAGCATCTTGGTGATATTTTGATTTAAGTATACTGACTCAGATCAGTGATACCCACACCATAAAAAATGTAATTTTATATTCGTAATAAAATTTATTCTAAAATGTATCTAAAAAGGGAACATGCCTTACTCAGCGGTCTCGGATCGGGACCTTGAGAAATTCCTAGTAAGTGGAAAGAGATTGGAGAAGGTGGAAAACTGCACGGATGATATGTAAGTAAAAGGGTCCCGCCGTGATCATCATAGAATAGACCTTCTCATAATGAAGTCTGCATGATGTTGCACGAAGTTTGATTGGCTGGTTAGTTTTGCGAAGCCAATGAAAACCAGGCTCACCGCGTTAATGTTATAATGGGAAAGGTGTATTATTTCAAGAAAGGTTGTAATGAAATACAGTGCATGGGCAGATGCATGACTATACGTCGCAGTACGGCAGCCCTAGCAGAACTTTTCAAACGATCTTTTTGGTATCGTTGTTCAACTTACGAGAAAAAACAGTTTTCTGTTAATGAAGTTAAATTTGCTGCATCTATTCAGATATCAGATAATGTCAAAATGCTGGAGTCATCTACCAAAAGACAGACCAACATTTAAGGAGCTGTCCAATACATTGGGAGAACTTCGAAATACTGGGCGTATTTACGTCAATTTAGACAGTCTAATGGAACAGTCCATTAAAAAGGAAGGTATGTTAAACATTTTCCCTCGAGACCCAAAACAAGCGTCTTCATATGTTGTGACGTTTTCATTGTGTAAAACGGTCCTGATTTCCATTGAGTTATTTTATTTCAGATCATGAGAATTCTGAAGAAATAGACAAGGTACATATACATCTCTAAAATATTTAAATCTGCTCATCGTACACTTTTTAGCCCTTTGTCGATAAATGGACAAATCGGACTATACAGACAATAAACTTCCTGTTAGGATCAGGGTTATTTAAGGACAGTCAACCTTCGTTAATCCATATATTCAGAAAGGGGCCCACTTTTCACCCTATGTATACTGTTTTCGCTCCAGAGGATTGAGCTCCTCGGAGGGCAAAGACGGAAAAATGATATCATTTTTTATCGACATGCGTTATAGTTACCATCTTACCTTTGATTAAGGTTCAAGACTTATAGGCCATCCTTAATATATATATAATTAAGATGTCTTATTTTAATACGTTAAAACACGTCCTATGATATACTAGATACTTGTTAAAACGCTGGGTGAAGTGTGGTTAGCACAAGTCTATATATTTATAAACATTACTGAATTAGAATATTCGCTTATTTTGAAGGACAAAAGCAGCGATGATGAAAGTTGCGATAAAGCTGAGTGAAACAACAAGTGAAACTGGGTGAAAACGAGCTTAAAAGAGACACATTTTATACAATTACAGACAATTATATTGTTGTAAACATGCACAAACAATAGAAACTCAAGATTATATAGATCTAAAATTACCATAAAACAAACCAAGTGCGATACGCAATCCATAAGTATAAAGAATGAAGTTGAAATTATTATTCATTAAAATGTATACAATGTCAATGGCATTATTAGTTTTCGTACCGGATTACTTACGTTGATTCGATATACTTTTGGTATTGGATTTGTCTTGATTACACGATATCGGATTGATTCAAAATACAAAGAAAATGGTGGACAACGAAGGGCGAGCAAAAAGTCCAAAAGAAATATTCCCGTGTATACAGACAGTGAAATAGAACTTCTTTTGGAATTACCAACTATTCATGCATTTTCCCGCCAAACATATATTGTACCTGGGATTGTAGCGATTACAGGGAACAGACTGAATATACCGGACATTTTTCATGTCACCTCCTGAGCGGAGCGATGTTCACTCGCGGAGCGTACCGGATTGCTACATCCTTGTGTAACTGCAACGCTTTCCCTAAACTATTTTATCTCATCTTTTGTCGATTTATTTTGAAACTCTGGGAATTGAACATTCAAAAAGTATTTTAATTTCCTATTGATCACTCCTAAGCAAAACTGTCGGCCATATTTTTTCTGCTACTTAGCGTATATGAGCTGATATGGAGTTTCCCGAAAATCCCGACCGTCGATTTTTAAATCCTTAAAAGGTATATCATGCATTAAATTAGCTCAAGTCATCATCGTCGAAAATATTTCGAATGAAATCGAAACCCAACCTCACTTTTACTACCTTTCATGACAAAATGCATATATTCTGTCTATTTTACATTCACGTTCAACGTAACTGACGTTTTTGCAAAACACTGCACATGAATTGCGGTTGTGGTGTAACAGAATAAACACCGTCTGAGACCCCGTTTACACTAGAACGAAAGTTTCCGGATTCATCACGAAAGCGGAATGTTTTAGTACCGGATTCATGTTGCTGTTTACACACGCAGCAACGAATCCGATAGAAAATGTACTCGGTTTTAAGCCGTATCCGGAAACTTTGAATCCGTAAAAGTTTGTGGAAACTTCGTATCCAGAAACATTTGAATCCGGAAAATTTTCTTGTGTAAACGCTTTGCACGATGAATCCGAAGAAATTCAATATGACGACTAAACAATTCTCCAAGAACAAGTAATGTCAGTGTAAACGGACAAATCCGCATACAGAGACAACTAAAGTGTAGTGTATAAACACCTGACGAATCCGATACATGCATGTGTGTAACAATGAATCCGGATAATTTTACAAATCCGGAAACTTTCGTTCTGGTGTAAACGGGGTCTGAGAACTCACCGACAAAAGAAATTTTCCTTTTCGTTCCGATCCAAAGGAGATTTTTCCTGAGTGGAAACTAGCCTTAAGTTGGACGGAAATCCCGTCTGGATGAGAAACTCGTCTCCCGTCTAAGATGAGTTTCCCGTTTCTAATATGAATTCGGCTAATGTTGTAAAGAAGAGGTGAAGGAGTTCAGGTTGAAATATTTTTATAGGAAATGTAGCCACGGTATTAAAAGCAGTATTTCTACCCATGCTGGTGATGATGATCTGATCAAAACATATATGAATGTCAGTACCCAGTCTCAATAAATTTATCTTCCTGTTTATCATCAAGTGTATAATGTAGGCGGTGATTTAATTAGCTACTAGGCCTTGATTAGATGAACTTTGCGTTCTGATTATATTGACTTCGTAACATAAGGTTCTGGTGGGCATTGGGCAATTGCAATTTTTTTCAACCAAATAGTTTTCCCAGAGTTGAGATTGCGGGCACATGTTTCTTGTTAAGGAGCATGCCCATGCAGTAAGCGATGTTAGCGTTTTCAAATCGTTTTCGAATCGTTTTCACGTTTTCTTTTAGACGCCAAATTAAAGCTGTACAGAAACGACATTTTCGTGAATACATGAACATGGATTTCTTCTTTGAATTATGTTGATATAACCCTACTAATGGCATTGTCCTGCGTCACTATGAGCTTAACGTATATTTAAATAACGTCTTACGCTTATAATTGTACATTTTGGATGCATGCATGGTTTAAATACAAATACTATACTTATACTTTATACAAATACTGTATAGGAAGTTATAAATACTGTATAGGAAGTTAATATATATATATATATATATATATATATATATATATATATGTATATATATATATATATATATATATATATATATATATATATATATATATATATATTACTGCTCTGCCTCTTTGGCATTGAGCTATGTCGACCCAGTGACAACCACATTGTATATATGTGTATATATATATATATATACATATATAGGAAGTTATATAAAGTTATATATACGTATTATATTATATATATATATATATATATATATATATATATATATATATACATATATATATATATATATATATATATAAAGTTATATATATATTTACTTTATACAAATACTATATGGAAGTTATAGCTATGTACATATAAGTACTCAAATTACCATCAGGATATATAATGGACGTGACCACTGACTAGGTCTAGGTCTGGTGCCATATATTGATCCGATCAATCAGAGACAAAACATATAGATTCATGAGTCATGGAATTATTCCCTGAAAATTATATGCTCGAAGAAATTTGATTCCGCGATACTTTGGCTCTTATGCTACCGGTCTATATACTTATGCGGCTATATAACTTTTGGGTTCTTGCTACGTGGTCTAGAGTTTACGACAATTTCAACACTCGTTTATCGGACTGGAATTCATTCGCCGCTTGGTCGCATAGCATAGCATAGCGTCTGTCTCGTCCGCGGGGAATTAATACATCTCAGGATATGCACTTCTGCGAGCAAGTATTTCGCCTATTGATAACGGTGATTACATTATGTGGGGCCCTTGAGGTAAATATTACAAGAAGGACAAGATGTTTAAAAGACTGCAAGGCCGATAGTAAAGTAAGTGAGGCTTTGTTTATAAACTATAATCAAGGTCAGTACAAAGGCTGTGCTCAATACTACAATCAAGTACTATTATATAACATGTCATGTGGTGATTTTTGATATAAATGTGGTGATATTTGGAATAATATGGCAGGATTATATATACAATTAATACCATTACTAAAAAGTTTTTAAACAAATCATACACATTACATGAAATAAGAAATTTAACGTTAATCAAACAAAGTCAAAAACCATTGTTTTCAGACGCCTTTCACCCGAAAAGCCCTCTTTACATTTTTAGGCATGCAATGCTTATACATGAATTTACAAGTCGCAGTTAGCTGGCTTTAATATTGCAGTGGGTGTGTATAGGATATCGCTTCCGTCATTTCCCGTTATGTTTAATTCCTGTCTTCGCAACTGAGTTGAAAATCGAACAATCAATATTTCAATGACATGCAATATAGGTCCGACACTTTTGTTACAAGAGCTATAGCCATAGGCCGACGAGTTCCCTGAAATGCTCTATATTATATAAAGCTATAAAGAACTTGTCCTTCCTATGCATAACTAAACCTTTCTTTAATGAAATGACCGCTCTGAGCCGGTTCGTGCACGCTTTATGTAAGTTGATTCGAAAACCTCTGCGCTTTGTGTCAGTAATGAAATTTTACTCATACATGCACCGATCAATATTTGTTCGATATATGTCTTAAGCCGGTTTTCCACTAGCGATATTTTTCGCGCGAATTGACATTTTACTTTTGTTCCAGAGCTCTCATCACAACCATCTGGAACAAATTGCTCAAATACAAAGGAATAAAGTCGCTTCGCGCGAAAAATATCGCTAGTGGAAAACCGGCTTTACATGCATGATTGCGCTATTAGCGAATAGCTATATAATGTGTTTTTCTCTGGAGGAAATGTCCATGATTCTCTCTGGGGTCATAGCCTTCCTAAAATTTTTCTTGTAATTTTTTTCCTGGATTCGATATTTCTGGCTTTTTCAGTATCAAGTATCTGCTGAATTCGCTCCCGAACGAGCAACAACTGCCCAAGACTTATAGACATTAGACAACATATATAGGAACTATGTATTACTATATCTCTTTGGCAACTGAAAGACATTCAATTATTTTTCAAAGTAAATTTAAAATATCACTGCCATCATAGATTTATCTTGCCTTGGTCTGCTCAATAATTAGGTCCAATATAGTTCGCTTCCTTGTATTATGAGATTATACCGTGGAGATTAATTTAGATTTTTTTAACCTCTTTTACAAATGTTATGATCGCTTTCTGGTTTAACAGCTGTTTTATAAATATCCAACTTTCTGCGACACTACATATTGTGGTCAAGAATATCTTAAGTCTCTAGTGGAAAAAGGTCAGTTAAACTCCTGCGGAATTATTCCGTGAATAAATGTCTTATTTGAACATATCCAACTCAGCCCTTTTAAGAAAGTCATTTCTTTTCAATTTTTTTTCTAAATTGTACATATAGCCAGCAATTCAGAAAGTACTTTACCGAAACCTGTTGCGCCGAAACTGGTTGAAGCTGGGTGGCAGAAAATACGAGTACGTTTTAATACAACAGAGCTGAAGAACCACAGCGATGTTGATTATATTTTAGAAGTGAAGCCATTATGGGGTCGTCAAGAGAGAGGCCAGCACTTTGTTGTATTTCCTTACATAAAGCCATACCTTCTTGTAAGTTACTTTAATTCTTTTTAATCCATGGTCATTGGCTACTTCCAAAAAAAATTCAAAAAAAAAACAACAAACGTATAAACACAGTATATTCATTGCTAAAAACAAGCATCGAGAAATTGATATTCTTCAGGCTCTTATCAAGAGAACTGTATTCGAACAATGCAAAAAAGAATAGGTTGTCATAAAATATAAGTGCATGCATGCGTTCCTTTTAATCCTGAACAAAAAACTTCATTCCAAATGCTTCTACGTTACTCCGACGATCGAAAGGCGCGACCCTTGGTCTTGCCATACAATATTTAGTCATACTGATGGTCTATAATTTACTTTTCTTTGGGTTTTTATCCACCAGACCAATGATACAACGTATACAATTGAGGACCTCGAGCCGAATACTGGTTATAAATTTAGAGTGCTCGCTCTAAAACAAAATAGATGGTCGTCATTTAGTAACTGGAGTAGTGTCATGAATACAACTGGTAAGCAAGCATGAAATGTTGTCTACATTGTATATGAAGTCATGTGCTTTTTTATTAATTTAGCAAGAATAAAAACGTGTATACATATAACTCAAACCAAAAGCATCGAGGCTCACTAAACCGCGGCATATTGTCGCTTTTGGGTCTCTAGATTTGTACGGTCCCCATGTATAATCATCAAAATTCTTCCATCAGTTGAATATGCATTTCTTGCAATTGGTACAAAATTAAGCTATGCACAGGCGTATCCTTAAGGGTCTTTGGATCCATTAACACATGTTAGCATGTTAGCTGGTAGCTTCTTGTGCCGTAATGAGTAACAAAGGGTGTATATATTATACGCTTTCTCAGATGTACGTAATTTTAGAACTTTGCGAAGAACCTCCATGTGGCGTAACAAATATCCGCTTGGAATTGACAACCGAGATACCTTATCAAAAAAGAGTGATTTTGAAATCCTATTTTTGTTGGAAACCTAGTACTACGTGTAAGTATAACCGTACGATAAATTATAGCTGATTTTAAGAATTTTTTATCACTGCACATATCATCACAATAATAGTATAGTGGAGAGGGGGGCATGATAAAAATGGTCCTATAACTGGAAATTGGTAATTTAAAGATGGGGGAATTGTAGGGGTCTGCAGGACCTCTTGCAGGGGCCCTTTTGGGGCCCTATGACTTGATTTACAGCATTAAGGGGGACAACTACTTATGAATCTACCTCGGCAGAGTGAGGTCTGTTGAGAAAATACCATTTATCACTGCACATTTCTCATTTTATCACTGCACATTCTACTTTTATCACTGAACATAGTGTGCATTGATAACCAATTTGTTCAGTGATAAAAGTAGAATGTGCAGTGATAAAATGAGAAATGTGCAGTGATAAATGGTATTTTCTCAACAGACCTCACTCTGCCGAGGTAGATTCATAAGTAGTTGTCCCCCTTAATGCTGTAAATCAAGTCATAGGGCCCCAAAAGGGCCCCTGCAAGAGGTCCTGCAGACCCCTACAATTCCCCCATCTTTAAATTACCAATTTCCAGTTATAGGACCATTTTTATCATGCCCCCCTCTCCACTATACTATTATTGTGATGATATGTGCAGTGATAAAAAATTCTTAAAATCAGCTATAAAATAAATGTGACGAAAGTCTTTAACACGCATGCATCCATGACACGAACACGGAAAAGAAAGACAACCTGGCCCTCCAAAAACAATATTCCCGGTGTGATTCTAAGGCCTGTCTTTCCGTAAGAAGGCAAAGGGGTAGCTGTGCAATTTTTTGTATGTTTTAACATAAAAAAGACAACATATCGAACTAAATTATTAAGATATAGAATAATAGATTGTCATAAAATGCAATCATCTTCCAATTTCGAGTAGGTCATATAACGGGCGCTGACTAGTGAATGTAGCTAATCAGTTTGGAAGAAAACTTATGATATCGGAACCGCAAAACTGAATTAAAACCTGTTGCTATATTGTCGGTTGTTAAGGGGGCTCTTTACAATTTGAAAATATTGAAAACCCGTAATTTAGATTTAAGAATTTAGCAGGAGATTTCATGCCTAAAAAAGAAAAATTTCCCACATATGCTGTTGTTATGGTAATAATGGGGATTCAATATGGCCAACATTTTACATATTCACGCATTTTACAGGAAAACAAGTTCGGTTACATCGATTTTTCACCTTATAAAACGTTTTCTTTTCCTTCAACACGAAATCTCCTGCCAAAATTTAAATCTAAATCTCGAGTTTTCAAAGTTCCTGAAATTGTAGAGAGCCATCTTAAAATTGTATACAATGAATTGTAACAATAAATTGTTTAAAATTTTAGTCAATGAAACAAACAAAACCGGGCTGCACGGCGTTCTTCAAAAAATTGAAGTAATAAGCGAGTGTCGAAAAATTTTTAACGACGAAAATGACTTCTCTGACCGCAAGAAGTTAACCGGATTGGTAAGTTATTACACGTTCTAGGCGCTTTGAACGTTTCATTGAAAATGCCGTATAAATAAATTGAACATAAGCCACAAGTTAGAGAATTAAAATTATTGCTCTTTAGATAAATGAAATATTAAACGATAATTAATAAAAAAAATTAAATGAAATTAAAATGCAAAACGTTTGTTTGAAGCCCACATTACTGCATGGATTAATAGTTCACGTTGTAGTAACATACAACAGTTGAGCATTATTCAATACCGTTGAATGAATCATTTATAATTTATCAACATAAAAATTTATAAAAAAAGATTATTTCTTAAGGATGCTTTCATCAAAAAAGAAAATGCAAGCTACACCATCGACGGAAAAAACCATCTTTACTATAATTGTTGGTACAAGTTAGAGGTACGTGAACATTAAAAATGAGTTCTTAATAATATAAAATATATATTTTCAATTAATATATAACTTTCAAATTTCAAAGATGGAGGCGGTGGATAATTTAAAAGAAACGACGCTTTCCTTAGCAAAACGAAGATGGATTTTCCATATACCCAGTAAGTTTTAGAAATTTGCACACTTTCTATATCCATTGTTCAAGGTCAAGATGCATAAACTTCTTAGTTTTGAACGTGAACAAATAATTGTGAAATAGTTCACCGCGCTTAATACTTGAATGCAAATGGCAGTATCCTCGGCAAAAATTAAAAGCAATATAAATGAGTTACTTGAAAATATATTATATTTACTTTATTACTTTACTCCTAATTGCCACGATCGTTTCATACGAACTACATAGCCATGTTTCCAGTGCCGTATGTTCCAGGGCCCTGCATGTTTTATGTCCAGTATATTTGAAAGCTACTTTTGGAGGCTACTTTATGCTTTTCTAAGAGCCAAGTAAATAATCAAAAATTGAAGAAACAAATTTAGAAATTTAATAACCTTTTTGCATGGTTGTAACAGCTGAAAATAATTCAAAATTCAAACTTTGTAATAGCTCTGTGTAATATGCCTAACTCCAAGGCATTTTTTCTGCAATGCCCTTGTTGATGGTATTCATGTGTACTGTGTTGTTACTTAATTTCAGAATGTATACAGATCAGTAAAACAATTATATGCGGATGTAAATGTAAGTAGATGATATAAAAGTAGGATAAAAAAGGCCCTGTTACATGGTGAAATTCTTCTTGCAACTTGCAATGCAATTCTACTTTTGAGGGATGTAAATTAGTGAAGAGTCTTCAAAATGTTATTGTAGGAAACGTGTATGGAGCGTAATAAACACAAACGTTTGGCAATTTACATCCTTCAAAAGTTGCAAGAAAAATTGCATCGTGTGACAGGGCGTTAAGATGAACGTTCCAGTATTATCAGGAAGCAGCGTGACAGCGTCTTCAAACAACTTCGCATCAAATGTGGTATAAAAACTGCCAAACACTTTCCGACGGTTGGCCCTTGTCATAACTCTCCTAACAAAGACCATTAGATCGAAACGTCGACTAGTGTTTTTCTCTTTTTCTGGCAGTTGTTATGCCACATTTGATGTGAAAGTAATTAAGATGAACACTGATATCAGTAGCGTAGCCAGCCTGACGATTTGTCCTGCTATGCTAATATTTTGGTGTTCATTGACTGTGAAAACAATGAATTTCTAAAGAAATGAATAATGATAATAACACGAAATTTACATAGCGGGACCAAATCGTCAGGCCTGGCTACGCCACTGCTTGATATTATACATCAGATTATATAAAATCAATTTAACAATTATACATGAGAACGAGTAGTATATGAGTTGCTAGCCGGAGTCGAGGCAAAGCCGATTCATTACTCTCTTATTTTTTTACCATTACCTATGCATTGGACCACCGAGATGAAAATGATAGAGAATAATTTGTAAAATGTTCTATAGGTATATATGAGTTTTAAACAATATTTTTTATTTTTGTCAGTACTCTTTTCCGTTTACCTTTCTGGCGTCTTCTAGTTCCTCCATGCAGGGCTATTTAGTTTGAATGGAAATAACCTTACGCCATTTTATTTACTTTGTTTTTAATTGTACTGAAAAAAGATTAACGAAATAATTGGATTTTGGAATAATTGGATCGCGGTTATGTTGCGGTTAGGTTGCGGTTAGGTTGCAGTTCGGTTGCGGTCGACCGATAGAGACCGGAGACGACCGCAAGGGAAAAATACGATCGCGGTTGCCGTTCGCTTTCGAATGGAATGTTATGAACTTCTGAGAACGGCAACACAATAATCAAATCGAGAATATCTTAAGAAATGTCTGTCAGACCAAGTTTCGACGGAGGTTCGACCTCGGTCTCACCGCGGTTCGACAGACCGAGATTTGACCGCGGTTTTTGTTTTGTGGTTATTTCTGGACAGTACTGTACGTCTTTTCCATATAATTACAACCTCGTTATCGGGGCCTTTTACGTTGATTCTGAGTTGGGGTAAAAGGTCCTGAGTTCGTCCCGCAGCTGCTTCTGACTTCTGATTGGTTAAATGATTTTTCTTAATTTATGTGTAATTGAGCGGAATATTTTATAATTATTCCGAAATAGTACAATCCCAATGTACTTTAATGCTACAATATTATTCGTTCTACGCGACTCCGCCATTTTGAAAATATTAGGCAAAATTTTATGATAACTCACGCTTATTCAAAATACCCACGAAATATGGATATTTTGAACGGCCGATCCCAGGGCCTTTCCTCTTCTCTCCTCTTGCCCCCAGCCTCAACCCCCCATATGAAGTCCCAAAAGGCCCTGGGAACGAGGTTGATATATTGCTTGATATTGATATATTGGTTGATATAATTATCTATAACCAAATCTGATTATTTATCAGATGAGTTTGGTGGCAATGAAATTGTTGAAAAGCATGTGAATGCGACTTACAAAAGAACATCAAGAAAAAATGCTACTGTACATTTTACTTGGACTGATGGAATTTGGAGAAATCTGAGTAGCTTTACCTATCACGTGTTTACAATATATGACAAGCTTAATTTATTGCCACCGGTGCCTTTCCATAAGAAATACTACAACGTAACATCCAAAGTAAGCGATCGATCACAATCACATTGGTCTTTTTATATTAAAAAACCGATCAGATTACTACTGCATGCACGAGTTGCATGAATAAATTGAGTGTAACTGTTATCTATCCTTTAAAGTGCTCATACCATGGTGCAACTTAAATTTCGTGCAACTCAAACAAAAGAAAAACTGATTTGCAATTCGGGATTTGACGTCATGTCCGGTAACTTTAAAGGCTATAATAAATCCATCAAGACAAAACTTTTAATAACAAAATGTATGGCAAAGTTTTTCAAAAAACCTTAAACTTTTGATATATTCAAAATCCGCAACCATAAACATAGTATAAGCACTTTAATTTATGCACCTGACGAGGTCATACCAAACCATCGCAAATCACTATTTATATCGTTGCAGGCTTCTAATTACAACGCCACACTTCATAATTTAACAATTGGACATGAGTATTATGTATATGTGAGTATTGATTTTCTTTTTTGGAATTCCTTAACGTTTAAATTCACTTGTGCCCGACCTGTTTTTGTTTCCCAAGGCGCTTCCGCGGTTGGTATGAAGACAAATATATTTAAAACTATATATATAGTCATAAAATAGCCCTAATAAAAAAAAGAATTTGGGAAAGAAATTCCCAAAAGATCACCTTGTAAACACATTCACAATTGAAATTTATGCACGCATTATTTAGAATTACTTTTCGACAAAATCCTCGGTATACACCACGTTTTTACTCTTCGCCTCCCTGTGACTTTAATTAATGTGATTTTAATGTACGCAGTACCTGAAAGCGAACTAAAATAATATTTTTTCTTCACGACTGTAGTGTTCACGATATTAGTTATATCATCCGTGATGATGCAGTCCTTTTATCTTTGGTTTATAGGCAAAACAGCTACAATTTTACTATTTTCTTTAGATTAAGGGATTTGCAGATCATCATTGTGAACATGTAGAAAGACTTATGCTTACGTTTACTAGTAAGAATCTAATATCGTTAACAATATTATGACCACATGCACTTATAATAATGCGTTAATGTTTCTTGTAGTGCATGCCTGGCGCCTTATAATATAGACAGTAAATAATATATATATATATATATATATATATATATATATATATATATATATAAAAATATATATATTTTTTTTTTTTGATCGGTTTCTAATATAGGCTATATATAACAATAGAGTACTTGATGTTCGTAGGCATAAATGTGTTTTTGGTCCGACTCTGACGAGGGTCAAACGAACACATTTATACCCAAGAACATAACTGTATTACTCTTATATTAACTTTAAAGGGCAATTTTTGTATAATATATATATATATATATATATATATGTACATAAAAATTATGAAATATAGGTAAGCAGTTCAGTAATTCTTCTGATTGGCTTAGATCAGCGACAATATGTTTCAGCCCGGCAATCTTATAATTTTAGCCCACAAAATGCAGCGCAATGCCCGCCAAAGTTAATATAATTTAGGTAATATAGTGAACAGATCCTATCATTTTTTGTGCTTCATGCAAATGCGCTTATTGATTGATCTTTTTCTTCCACAGTCACTTTTCCATGCGAAAAAAAAGTTTGTCCTAGCAATAGTTCGTGTCGTAGAGTTGGAAACGATGGTAAAACAAGTGAATGTAGATGCCATAGTGGTTTCGTAAAACGTGATAAAGAATGCATAGGTATGAACATGCATATATCAGCAAAATAACTCTCAAAAATGAAACGCTTAAAAAATCTTGAAATTTCTGCGATGACATTATGTGCAATCTAGATAAAATACCATGTGACATGTGCACCTAGATGAAATACCATGAGGCATGTGCAATCTAAATGAAAATCGATGTGGCATTATATATGTGCAATCTAGATGAAATACCATGTGACATGTGCAATTTAGATGAAAAACCATGTGACATGTGCAATCTAGATGAAAAACCATGTGACATGTGCAATCTAGATGAAATACCATGTGACATGTGCAATCTAGATGAAAAACCATGTGACATGTGCAATCTAGATGAAAAACGATGTGGCATTATATATGTGCAATCTAGATGAAAAACCATGTGAGCCAAATCCTTGTGGACCAAAAGAGAAATGCAAACCTATTGCAAATACGGGAAAACATAACTGCACATGCGAAGACAAACATTGGCGAATAAATGGAACCTGTGAAGGTAGGATATAAACAATATATCGCTATATGTGAATTGCATGTACATGCAGCTTATAGTAAACGGAGCGATTTTCGTAAAATATCAATTTTTTTCGGAGTAAAATATTTTTGGGAGATCTTGATGATCGAGTGATGACACTATATACTCATTACCATAAAGTACTCTGTCAAATTTTACATAACAACTGTGTACTATATATCTAAAATACTAAAATAAAACAACGAGGATCAAGTTTCAAAAATACAAGCACTACAAAAGTCAGTCTCAAAATTCCGCCCAGGCCCTGCACCTATGAAACTTAAATAGTGTGAATTTACACTTAGGCTGTTGTGTGATTGCAGGAAAAATGAAAATATAACTCCGACATCGATCTAGTTTAGGGTGAGAACAAGGTTACTAACACGGAAAGCGTAAATTCACCTTTTGAAGATGACATTTATACTTAACCATATAAAGTGCTCATGCATAAAGATTCGTTTACATGCCAAAGTCAATTTATTGACACGGCACTGATAATAAATTGATCGGTCTTTGCTTTGGTAGCCTGAGCGCTAATAAATTGCCGTACCAATAAATTGACTATAGTCTTTATCCTAACACCGGGTAACACCTGTTATGGGTTAAGGTTTGAATATGCACTTTTCTGGTGCATGTAAAATAGAAATGTATTGTATAACGTTGACATTCATCGCTGAAAACCTATTCTTGATGTACCACAATACCATAACAAAATGAGGCTACACTCCAATTTTCACTATCCTTCACTTTCCGAATCTGGATTGTATATTTTATTTTGAATTAAACAATTATCAAAGACAGCATGCCCACTCAGTTCTATACACTAATGCAGTTGCCACCTAGCTCGTATATTCCCTGGGGAAGATTAGCTACGTGATCGACATTGTTAAACTACTAGGTTGGGTTCGCAGGTACAGTTACGTTTCCTGGTTGCTGGAATCCGTACACATTTCTCCTTTTTGCCACAAGGGTCAATCATACATATATCTAAATTGTATAGTGTCATTGTCATTTACAACCTCTCCTGATACACTACACACCTAAAAATTACATTACTTATTTGACATTAGACTTGGATGGCAAGCAAGACCCTCGCCACAGCAGACAGGATGGAGTTTCCTCAACGTATTTGCAAACCAGTTTGCTCAAAAATATTTGCATATTTTTTAAAGTAACTGATTCCTGAAGCCATTGTATATTATACTTTATAATATAGGAATTTGATTATCAAACTGGAGCTAAACTGAGGTATTGGCCGGAAAGTCGTATCAAACAAAGTGAATTATAGGAAAGAGGTGCAGCTAGCTGTTGATTCTTGGGATGACGAAGTCAATTCAACAAGTGACTGAAATACTGGTATTATACAAGAATATTCATGCACCAGTTAATTTTTACCATATGAATGCAAAGAAACTTTTCTTACGAACTGATTATTAGGCTATATACTCAGAAAGGAAAATACATATGTTCTTGTACTGAGCCTTTAGTAATCTTGGTACTTCAAATGTGAAGTTTGTATTTAATTGCTAACCTTTGAATTTGTTTTTAAAATAATATGATTTTTACATCAAACTTTGTGTTGTTTGTTCTTTGTTTCACAATCTCCGGGAAAACACGCGTGTTTTAAAGCGAGATTTAATGCGCGGCCATGTTTGCAGCAAGCTTGTCGCGACAAGCTTGTAACGGCCTTGTTATAACAAGCTTGGAACAGCTCAAGTTCAACAAGCTTGTAGCAAGTTGTTGTCAGACTTGTAGCAAGCTTGTTGGCAACAACCTTGGTACAGCATTGTCACAACAAACTTGCTACAAGTCTGACAACAACTTGCTACACGTCCGTCACAACAACTTGGGACAAGCGGTGCGAATAAATCTTGCAACAAGCTTGTTGAAACGAGCTTGCGACAAGCTTGCTGCAGGCTTGTTACAACTCGTGCGTTTTTACGTGTGTAGTGCGAAGAAATGGAATTTGTGAATTAGGTAAGAGGAAATTAATTAGTAAAATTACTAAACACTGCTCACTCGCAAATAACTGTCTAAATGCATCCTAATAATAGTACTTTAAAGCAGGTATTTTACTCAACAGTAGCTAGTAAGACTCTTCTGCATACATTCAGTGATGATACATCCAATCAAAGTCATTGTTGCGTAAAAAGTCTTTTTCACGAATTTACGAGACATCAGGTGCACTCTATCGTATAATTCCATATCGTATCATAGACTTTTATTTTAATTTTCTTAGAAAGCAAAAAACCGGAAAGTAACATAAATGTTGTACTTGTTACTGTCTTAACGCCTCTCGCTGTGATCCTGATTGCTATACTCTTCATCGTTTGGTTACGTAGACTTCACAACAAGCAAATGACTTTTATAGAAACTGAATTCCAAAACGCTATGGAAGATATAATTCCAAATAGGAACGTCATCAATGTTCGATCGTAAGTTGGTTAATTGTATATATTTAATAAAAGTTGCGAGTGCATACAGTATATATAAATATAGTCTCGCTTTGTATGACACTGATTTTAAACCCCGCAAAATGAAAAACGTTTGAGAAGCTTTGATTTCCATCATTGCATGATTGGGAAAAACTATTTTATATTTTTTGTTGATTAATTTTGAAAATGTTTGAAATATACGGAATGACTGTTGAAAAACGTTTGTTTCCCACGTATGCCTAGTTTTAACCCATGCAGTCTTGATGCATCATTATATCACGGCTTGTCCTAGCTGAGCTGTTTGCCCAACAATTGTGCGTTACATGCATGCATGCATGGTCTTCAAGTTTTAAACCTGAAAAGTTGTTCTAAAGCCTTCGATAGAATCAACCAACTCCTAATTGAAAAGATCCAGCTGCTTAATGTCGATAATCCTTTATTTAATAAACTGGGTCATCGATTTCTTAACACAAAGAAGGCAGAGGGTGAAACTGGGCACTAAACTATCCGATTGGTCCTCGGTCAATGGAGGAGTCCCACAAGGTACAATCCTAAGACCTCTTCTCTTCCTCATCATGGTTAATGATCTAGCCTCTAACCATAAAGAAAGATGGAAGTCTCTCTGAATCAATTGAGCAAGTTGGTCAAATAATATGCAGTCTATTATTGACGAAATCGATGAGTGGTGCACAGTATATGGTATAGTCCTCAATCACTCCAAATATATAAAGACCTAATTATCTCATTTGCTAGTGACGCGCCGAATTTCCAGCGTTTGTTTATAAAGGATCAATGTGTACCCTCAGTTTTATCGGCAAAGGTCCATGCAACCTATCTTTCTTGTGATCTTAAATGGTCCCTGCACATTGAACACATCATATCTAAAGCATCACAGAGACTTTTCTTCCTACGAGTCCTCGAACGTTGTGAACTTGGGATGTGTTTTTTTTATAACTCTCTATCATGATAAGTTATTTATATATATATATATATATATATATATATATATATATATATATATATATATATATATATATATATATATATATAGTTTTAATACCTACTAAACTTGTAACAAGTCCTGTACATGCAATTCAGCTTGTTCGCTGCCTCTCAGACTTGGTTTTTTAAAAAAAAACTCTCTAAACTCTAATTAACAAGCCCACAAAGAGGCAGAGACCTAAAACCAGTAAACATACGCCACGTATTGTAGATAGATGTTTTTGAGATATCGAATTAAACTCTCATTTTCCAAAACTTAAACTAATCAACTAAATTAAAGCAATTCTTCGAAGTTGAATGTCTCGGAATTCAGCGCCCCGTTATTGCGGCTTGCTGCATATGTACATTCACGGCATGTACGTGATGTCATAATGACATCAATATACGTCTAAACATGCGCAGTGTCAATCAAGATGACAATTTCCCGTATTCATTTGTTTAGTATTAATCTCGATATGTTGGGAGATGAAGGGAATGGAAAAGAGATGAATTTGATTTACGTTTCTGAAGACAACATTTACGAGATTCCAGAATGTATATTGGAGCCGATTAGTCGATATGAACTTCCTCCCGATTCTGTGCGATTTCACAAAATGATTGGCAAAGGAGCGTTTGGCAGAGTATACGCTGGTGAAGCCCATGGAATTAACGGCAATCCTAAAGTGACAGCAGTTGCGATAAAAACACTGAAAGGTTAGGTTGTACTCAAATTAGAAGAAAATTGACTTTGCTCACTTTTTATGACATCATATTATGACGTCATATGGTAACAAAAAAAAATATAAACAAAAGTCCGATGCGACCAGTTGGCCGTTTATAAACACACTGTTCTCACAAACTACGTAACGCTCTTGTAAGGTGTACATCACATGAAAAAACCGTAAGTTCTATTCACTGACAACATAGTGCACTGTTATCTAGTAATAAAACATCGTTTTCCCTTGTTCCAGGTTACTCCATTATTTGCATTTACTTAAGTCTAAAAATGTTTCACTGCATGATGAGTGATGGATGTGCCACATATTCGGATAGAACTATTCTACGCGCTGACTCAAATACCTTAACATTTATTTTAGAAACCGCTAATGAAGAAGAACTTAGTGACTTCTTACGGGAAATTGATCTAATGAAAGACCTCGGAATACATGAAAATGTTATTAATATGTACGGTTGCTGCACAAAGTGTCGTCCAGTATGCCTAGTGTTGGAATACGCGCCAGGTGGAAATTTGCTTAATTACCTAAGAGCTCTTAAAAAGAAGGTGGGCATGTAGCTAATAAGCAAATATAGATTTTAAGTCAATTCAAAGTTCCAGCCATCTTGGCAACTGCAAGCGTATTATATTATTAAAGAGAGGAAATTATTTAGTTTCATATAGGATACGGGTCTATTATAGCTGTTTATAGGAGTCATTTGCGACTTATTCCATGAACCATGCATTCATTATCCGGACTGCGGGCCTATATTTGGAACATATGACTAATCACTGTAATTCAATGGTATACCGATGCTTTATCTGAATTTAAAACGCAACTTTGTGAAGAAAAAAGATTGTTTTTGTTACAGCTCAACTTACAGTTTCCAGCTATATTTTCCACCAATATTTTGTTACAGTCATGAATGTCTATTTCCATTTCTACCTCATCAGGCTACAGGCGAAATTGTCGGCGATTTTGGGGCCTTTTGATTTTTTATTCTCGACCTATCTATCAGTATACCAGATATTGCAGAATTGCTATCTCATAGTATATAGTGATGTTGAATGTAAATCAGTCAGTTGTGAAAATACACTATTTTCTTTTAAAGTGTAAAGATATCGTGGCTGCGCAGTCACACGAAGTGACAAATTCTACCAACGATCATGCAGAAGATTCCAATGCGGAGATCTCAAACAGAATAAAAGAGGAAATTCGAGCTGCTTTAGATTCAAAGGAATTAGAATCGTTTTCGTATCAAATTGCTGCTGGAATGGTAAATAAATAGCTACTGAATAAGCTCGAAAATATGTGATTTCAACAAATAGTTATTTAGTGCATGTTTAACTTTTATGAAGCCCGTATTAAATTGTAAGTTACTTATCTAAATTAGAAACACATTTCTGACCATGGCATCGTACATCGTGACTTGGCTGCAAGGAATATACTACTTGGCAAAGACAAAATTTTAAAAATATCAGATTTTGGTTTGTCACGTGAAGGAGCATACGTGCAAAAACCTGGCGGGAGAGTTCCTTACCGTTGGTTGGCAATTGAAGCGATACAAGAACGAAGTTATTCTATCGCCAGTGACGTGTGAGTATTGAGGATATATATTTTATTCGTTTCTTGCCGGTATGAAATACTTGTAAAATACCAAGCCAAATTACGTCTACCCATTCAATAAGGTCTGTTTTTTTTGTTTGTTAAAAACGGAGAAACAAACAAGTGAAGAAAGTGCGGGTTACTAGTATAGCTACGACTTTTGCGTGAAATGAAGTCTAGTTCAATGTCATTTCTTCAGTGTTATTTTTCGTATTTTTAGCTGGGCGTTTGGAGTTGTCTTGTGGGAAATATGTACATTAGGTAAAGAAATTCGCTTGAATTTATGCATATCAATATATAGCACGAGTTCGCTTTGCTTTTCATTATTTATACTATAGCTCACAAGGCGCCAAGTATCTATTAATTTCTACATCATAAAATAAAATTTTCAAACATTTTATGTCACTATATTCATTGCATAGTGAAGCAAAATAAATTAAACTATTCAGACAGTTTTCATCTGACGAATCCAATCAATCCGACGAATGGGAGGAAGTTGCCCTGAAGTTTCCATGCAAGCACCGTTTGAAACCACCGTCCTCTCTAAACGTTGGTCCTCTAAACTGGTCTCTTTATAGCAGAATTACGTCCACGCGGCAATCTATCCCTGCTGCGTTGAAATTTTATTTATTTTTTATTATTTATTTTATTTTAAAAGGGGAGATACCTTATCCAGAAGTCCCGGTCGGGGAACTCCGGAATTTTCTACTAAATGGAAAGAGATTGGAGAAAGTTGAAAACTGCACGGATGATATGTAAGACGCCATTATTGTTATATTCATATTTTATTCACAAGCTCCTTATGCATTGGCCACGAACTGTGATAAAATGCATAGCCTTTTTTAGTTTTGCATAAATATTGTTTCCCAATGCCCGCGTACCGAAAGGAATCCTTTTCGCGACGAAAACTTATCCGCCTAGTGGAAAACGGGCTTAAAGCATATATAGGTAAGAAATATAATTTGCGAAAAGAACTTTTACGTCATCTGTATTCAGATATAACATAATGTCAAGTTGCTGGAGTCAACTACCAGAAAACAGACCAACATTTGAGGAACTGCACGATAAATTGTTGGAATTACGGAATAAAGGAAAAATCTATGTCAATGTAGACACACTAATGAAACAATCTCTTGAAACTGAAGGTATGTTGAAAATTTTCAGCGATTTTATAATACAACTTATAATCATTAAGTCATCGTGGCAACGCTCAGTATAGGTACAGCTTCTGGACGTCTTGTTCTAATTTTGTGAATATTTATTCCCTTAATATGATTATGCTATTGGAAATATCTTATTCCAATATGATCAAGAATAATACGTCCTAGGTATCTTTGCCTTTGGAAATATTTGACAAATGACATTAATCATTAAAAATTACTAAATAAAATCAGTTTAAATGTGAAAGCGAATCGTTTAAAATTAAATCGATAATTTAATACTGAACGTATTTCACTTTAGGTCGTAGAAATTCCGACGAGACATGCGGCGAGGTATTAAAATGCTATTATATAATATTTTGCTCTCGAGTAAATAATATTGGTAAATATAGAATGAAGACATTATGCTCTCTTTAATAATAATAGAAACGATATAATTAAAAAAATCACGCAACATGCAAGGTTCAGGTCCCTTAATATGACTATGCTATTGGAAATATCTTATTCCAATATGATCAAGAATAATACGTCCTAGGTATCCTTGCCTTTGGAAATATTTGACAAATGACATTAGTCATTTAAAATTACTAAATAAATCAGCTCAAACCCCACAATATTAAAGTAATTTTTTTCTCAATTTGAAGAACAGTACTAGCTGCGAGGAAGGAAGTGATGACGAGCTGATAAGCGTGGCCTCGTAGAAAACACTTGAAAACAAAGAATACGAAAATGATATGAAAACAAATATTGAACAGTAAAAAGTATTGAGTTCAACAAGAGTTTGCCTCCGTATGTTAGCGGAAGTAGTTAGTATTCAAACACTAGAAAGTTCACGAATATCTCCCTCCATGCAAGCATATTCCCGACATCTGCATGCATATACAGGGTGTCCCAAAAAAACCGAAAACTATTGAAATCACTCATTGTTAAAATTTGACCTGTGGGTCCCAATAGAGTGCTTAGGCATTCAAACTCTAACAATTGCATTGTTATGGGTGATTTCAATAGTTTTCGTTTTTTTTGGGACACCCTGTATATTTGCAAAATCAAATACATCTTAAGTTCTATTCACACGACAATTTCGTCGGATCCATATAACCTTGGGAAATATAATGTATATATATTGTAAATATAATGTATGCAAACTTTCATTCTTTGCGTGCATGACTCAGTTTCATAATTAAATAAAAATACATGCATGCAAAATCCTCTCACCTATTTGAAGCAATATTTTCAACAGTGAAAGGTTATAAGCGTGAAACGCAGTTCATTTTCTGAATTTAAACGAATATTTTAGTTTATGCTCAAAAGTAGCGAGCATTTGTACCTGTAAACATTGAACGTAATCGACTTCCCAGTCATATGTAAGTAAGATTATTTAACAAGTAACTTTAAAAGTGCTACAAGGTATATATATATAGTTTTTTGAAACGGTTTTTGAACCAGTCGACCTTAAACTTTGAAAATAAAATAAATACAGAAATTGATGAAAAACGTCGTGGAGTATTAAACGTTTCTTGATGAACCATGCATGCATCAAACTTACAAGTTAGCTACAACATTTTACCCAATTAACACTCCAAAAAACTTCACATGCAGTTCTCCTGCATGTTCAAACGTATATTTTATATTTTCTTGCAATCAATTTTACGAGTCAATTTTCTGCATGATATATATTAATGGAAGACGGAAAGTGTCAGCACACCATAGTGTGCAGTCAAACAACTCGGGCAGTTGGGCTATACATTTTCGACCATTTCAATTCAAACATCTCTTAATTTTTTATATATATATATATATATATATATAACTATACATATATAAAAACACGCAGTTACAGATCACCAGTTTCATCACCAAGATATAGATAGCTATGTTTTATTACATTTTCACCACTTCTTATCGAATGCGGGAATAAAACCTCCTTTACTCTCGATAGAGATTATGCATGCATGCTCAAATTATTTTCATTAAGATTATTTGACAGCTGATCGAGTCCTTGAACGTGAGCAGGCCTATTCACATAATCTTATCAGGGCCAGAGGTCGGAGACAAAGCGCATATTGATTCGTCTGTTTCGTCAGTCTCACTTTTGGAATTACTTCCTTTACGCACATTCATATAAATATTGTCTTAAGGCCCACGCAGACAGGAGGCGTATTGACAACGGGGCGCGAATTTTCAACGCTTTTTATATTTTTCAAAATCAAATAAATTTTAATCTATCATAATATTCTTGTATATTACATACCAATAATACATTTTGACTGCTCTATCGATTCCAAATTTTGCTTCCAGAATTTACTTTATATGCTTCTGAAAACTCAAATAATAAATATTGATATTATAGGCCTAAATATTGTCTTAAGGCCCACACAGACATGACGCGAATTGACAACGCGACGCGAACTTTCAACGCTTTTTATTTTTCAAAAATAAAATAAATTTCAATCTATCATAATATTTTTGTATATTACATAAAAATAATACATTTTGACTGCTCTGGCGTCAATGGATTCCAAATTTTGCTTCCAGATTTTAATTTACTGTATGCTTCTGAAAACTCTTCTGAAAACTCAAAATTGGCGTCGCGTTGCCGCTTCGCGTCCGGTGTGTGTGTGGGCCTTCAAGAAATTTTATTCCGCCATGCGGTTTTTTGTTTGTTTCTGGCTATAATTGTGTTATGCGAGGCTCTTGAAGTGAATATCTCACCATGTGTCAAACGTTGTAAAGACGAAAAGGTGAGGGAGTTCAGGTTGAAGTATTTTTTTAGGAAATGTACAGTATTAAAAAGACAGTAGCTATTTCTACCCAAGCTGTATCTGTCATGATAATTGATCAAAGACAAAGTATATCTATAGAAAATTTAGCTGATATAAAATTTCACTATCAGGTGACAGGTGTTGTAACGAATCTATGATTCTTCCTGCTACTGAATTCTCAATGTTGCATGGTGCAAATTTACTATATATATAGAGCTTGATTATATATTAACTTTTTACGACCTAGGTAAAAACATGGCCTACGAACAATAGTATTAATATATAGTGTTTATATACACTGACCGATAATATACTTAATAATTTCCTATTTGCTTTTCAGTCCAAAGGTTATTATAATAGATATAATTCAGGTTATATATACGCAACTCTGTATCAAGCGGGACACGATTTGCTGATAAACTAGTATAGCCCCATGAAATGTTCGAAGATGAAAACGGTCTGTTTATCTGATTAGAATTTATCACTTGCCGCTAAACTTGCATGCTCATATAGCGTGTCATTTACTGTCCGCAGGGAATGCTATTCACGATGCGTTCTTGCGAGCAAGTATTTTGTCTTCTGATTACGGTGATTACATTGTGTGAGGCTCTGGAGGTAGCTAAATATCATAGGGTGTGAAAAACACTGCAAGAATAAAGAAAGTGATGCCTTGTTTATGAACTATTCTCATCCATGGTCAGTACAAGTGCAGTGTTCGATACTACTACAAGTGGAAATGTGGTGATAATTGATATAAATATCTTGAGTATAGAAGCTGAGTTGTGCATGTAAAGCCCGCCGCACACGTGAGCTTACTGCCTTGCGAGGTCGTTAGCTCAGCTGATAGCTCTCCGAGAGCTGCTCGGGTTAAGGGTATAGTGAGACTGGCAGGTTTATGTATTGCTACAATTAATACCAGGTGAAAAATTACATTTTAGACAAAAAAACAACTTAACGTTAATCATACAAAGTCCCTTTGTTTTGAGGCGCCCTTGTCCGAAAAATTCGCTTCATATTTCTAGACATGTCAAAGCACTAACTACAGCGAAGTCACATGCCTTGAGCTATAGTGCCCATATTTCAGTGAATGTTTATACGATCTCGCTTCCGTTTCCGGCGTCTCTCCAAACGTCTGTATTATACAACCCCATGGAAGTCTTCGCAAATTATACATGTATAATGAATAGATACTATTAACAAGATAGGGGGAATAAAGCAGTGATATAAATTATCTGAAACAGAAAGTGACTTGTGCATGCATGCAGCATGCCAGTGGCCCATTGCCAGGGTTGTATAGCCTGGCAGGTTTACATACCAAGATGCTTTTAGACAAATTACATGTTATAAATATAGACAAAATGAGAAATTTAACGCTATTCAAACGAACTCCCTTGCTTTCAGGCGCCTTCATCCAAAAACTTCTCATTAATTTTTTTTTGGCAGTGCTTATATACTGCATCTCAGAGCACTACTGCGAAGCCGCAATTGAGCTAGTATTCGTATATCATTGAGTGTATATACAATCTTTCGTTACCCTGCCTCTTCAAGTGTAAACTTTCCGTCTTCCAAATTATACAAAGACTAGCCGTATATAAAAAAGTCCGCTATTCGATTATTAAAAAATAATGAGCGTGCGCGTCCTTGTTCAAAAATCGTGTCTCGCCCACTGCGAAAAAGAAAAAAAGAATAAAAACGCCTCGTTTCCCTACCTGAACATACGATAAAAACGGCCAGACCGGTCCTGTTGTATTTTAGTACAGACAGATTACTTTGTATTTTAGATTGTTTCAAGAAATCTGCAGTCCAGTATATCGTTATTATTAATTTCACATCTGCCTATAGCACGGGAAATGCAACTTCACCGCTATTTTCTTTATTAACGAAATACTCTATTTCATTTCAAAATATGATCGGTCTGGCCATTTTGACCCCCTAAAGGAAAGCGCCCTAAGAGGTCTTGACTTCTTTTGTCCTCGCAAGCGTTACTTCTCGTCTAAAATAAAAGTAACCAGGTTTGACTTGCATGCATGGGTATCATTCTGTCTGATCATGCAGGTATCATATAATTTGATAAAGCTAGCAAAACATGTTTGAGCATTGAAAATCGAACAATATATAGACATTTCAATATATTTTCCGGTCTCACACCCTAGTTACAAGAGCTTTGCTACACCGATAAGTGCACTGAAATACACCCTATAATATATATTCATAAAGCCACTTCATATAACTGCATAAATTACCGCAGTCGTGGAATTAATGCACATGCACCTTCACGATTCTATTTTCGCCAGAATGTATATCCTGCTGCTAAGTGTGTCAAGAAAATTGATTGAATCGAAAACCTCTGTTTGTACTTTGTGTAAATAATGAATTTTTACTCATGCATGTATATACATCAATGAATAAATATTCGATAAAACAAATTCGTATATTTTGCAATACAAATACGTATATTTTTTTCTAAAAATACCGTTTACATATAGCTATAAAAATGCCAGAGTTTTTTAAAATTAAGAAAAAGGCTAACAGTTTTTCCAATACGTGCTCGACATGAATGCTATCTTAAGGATTAGTTGACTTGTGTATGTTAGAGTAATTATATGTCAGTATGTGGAATCATCAAAGCCGGATTATATAACTGAACCCTTCTCTCGGCTTCTTCCCGACACCCGAGTTAGAATTTTTTTATCGAAATGGTCGAAATGTACGTTATTTCCAGAAATAAATTTAACACACGGCCTTTGTGTTTGTAAGCCGGTCCCAGTAATAAAGTTACAGCTGTTAAGGATTCATAAGACATCAAGGTTTTTCCCTGCATTCATGGCATACCTTCTGCGATCATAAATATTTATCATAAAACATAAGCAAGTTTAAGTGCATGAGTTCCATGATGTCTTCATGTATGCAGAATAGAAGTCTCATGATAATACCGTTAGCGAATAGCTGCAATATACATGTCTGTGGGGGGTTGTTTAGCCACATGCAATTCTCTCGTGGATGTATGGTATGTACGGAGGCATCTGAGCTTGTCATTACATTTTCAAGACTCAAGTTGCCTAATGTTGCCTACACAATTACCATACGATTATTTGTAATGCCCATATAAATTATCTTATACCATTCTTTACATTTTATTGGCAGGCATGCAGCCGCAGGTGTCGATGGATGGCGGCTTTTTGGGTATTCTTTGCATGCGCGTAGGTACTCAAATTGCCATTAGGATATATGGCACCGGCTTAATTGACATGCAGCTGAGCTTCCTTGAACGTGACCAGCTCCAAGGTCTGATCACATAATCTGATCAATCAGAGACAAAACATATAGAAATAACTTCCTATATATGCTCGAAGAAATTTGATTCCGCGATGTACTTTTGTCAAAAAGTTTGTTTGTTTGTTTCTGGCCGTAAAATTGTGTTATGCGAGACACTTAAAGTGAATATCTCACAAGAGCCGCAATCCGGCATATTATAGAAACGTCTAAGCCAGGAAACTCGACTGATGTGAATCCGGGGTCACAGACGGGTGATTCGTGACTACCTGATTATATATCGTGAAAAATTAATCTCACCCACAAGGCAATAATGTTTGCCACTTTGTGTTCGGACTTCGGAAACGAAAGACTTCGATGCCAAGCCCCGCATGCTGCGCGTATCCAAAATGGCGGATTCATGGCAAACTTGCGGTTAAATACAGGAATCGCACATCTACTATAATAAATATTACATAAAGTTTCCCCACTAAAAAATACTGCTGTCCATTCTATTCAGTGTTGGTAAGTATGATAATAATTTTTAGCCTTTTTAGTCGGTGTGTCCTGCATGTGCAACTTAAGCGTCGAAACAAATATCAAATATTTCAGACTAACCCACACTCAAATCACTTATTAAATGATTGGTGAAACCCACCAATATATAGACATATGACATATCGTATAATACAAATAATCATTTTGCACCATGAAATATTGAAACAAATAACTTCTCCTTAGATTTGATATTTATTTCAATTATTTCAATTATGTGTTTACTACGCTTACAAAAACAATTTAAATACCACAATAAAGTTCGTGATGCGTGATGTTATTTTATCCTGTTCGTAACGAAATTTCGAAAATTCCGTGCGTGACACGGTATCACGACCCGGCCCCCCTTTGCCACCCCCAATAACGGGAATTTATGCGACCTGCTTAGACGTTTGGGTACTTGATACCCTCAAACGTGATCTAGAGTTTACGACAATTTCAACACTCGTTTATCTGATTAGAATTCATTCGCCGCTTGCTCGCATAGCTTAGCGTCTGTCTCGTCCGCGAGGAATTGATACATCTCACGATATGCACTTCTGCGAGCAAGTATTTCGCCTATTGTTAACAGTGATTACATTATGTGGGGCCCTTGAGGTAAATATTAAAAGAAGGACAAGATGTTTAAAAGACTGCAAGGCCAAGAATAAAGTAAGTGAGGCTTTGTTTATAAACTATAATCACGGTCAGTACAAAGGCTGCGCTCAATACTACTAACAAGTACTATTCTATAACATGTCATGTGGTGATATGACAGGGTTATATACAATTAATACCATTTGTAAAGTGTTTTAGACATATCATACACGTTAGATTAAATAAGAAATTTAACGTTAATCAAACAAAGTCAAAAACCATTGTTTTCAGACGCCTTTCACCCGAAAAGCTCTCTTTACGTTTTTAGGTATGCAATGCTTATACGTGGATTTACAAGTCGCAGTTGGCTAGCTTTAATTAATATTGCAATGAGTGTATATACGATCTCGCTTCCGTCACTTCTTGTTATGTTTAATTCCTGTCTTCGCAACTGAGTCACCGATATTTCAATGACAATATAGGTCCGACACTTTTGTTACAAGAGCTAGCCGACGAGTTCCCTGAAATGCTCTAGCTTCTATATTAAATATATAAAGCTACTGATATAATTAATAGTCATAAAGAACTTGTCCTTCCCATAACTAAACTTTCTTTATTAAAATGACCGCTCTGAGCCGGTTCGTGCACGCTTTATATAAGTTGAATCGAAAACCTCTTTTGTCTCTGTGCTTTGTGTCAGTAATGAAATTTTACTCATACATGCACCGATCAATATTTGTAAAACAAATTCGTTGATTAGCTACACGTATACATGTATTTATTTTGCACCTAAAAATCCCATTTATAAATACCATGATGAATAGATTAAACATGACGATTAATGATTAATGCACTCTGTGAGTACATTAAGGATTAATGCACTCTTTGTTTGTGCATTATCGGGTTTTTACATGCACTCGTTCACAAACAAGGAACGAGAAGTTCAATACTCGGCGAAGCCGAGTGCAGTATTGAACTTCTTTCTCGTTCCTTGTTTGTGAACGAGTGCATGTAAAACCGGATAATGCACAAACAAAGAGTGCTTTTAATAATGCTTTTAATATTCATTTTGAGTAAACTCGTAAAAACTTTATATCATTTTTAAACTTAACTAACAACACATGCTTACCTTTAAATACTGAAACACCTCAAGCGGTTGCATGCCCGTTTAGTATTTTTAGTGTGGATTCATCTATAATTACATTAATTTCCTCTTTACTAAGTTCGGCAATTTTTTTGTTTGTTGCCGCCATTTTGCTAGTGCAAAAATCCTATAACGGCACTGCCGTGGCGTTGTTGCTATATAACATTCACTCACGTAGTACAAATCGACCAATCAGAACGTAAGTTTACAAAAAATGAATATTAACTCGTTTTAATTTACGCGTGCTCGATATTGCAGCAAGATACGTGATCGTGATGATATTTGATGTTACTATCTTGAAGATTAGTTAACTTGAGCATGTCAGGGTAATCGACTATTCTGTCGAATCATCAAAGTCGAATTATTAAATCTTTTTTGATTACTTGCATGGACTTGGCGTTTGCCTTTGCGTTTGGCGTCTTTCGGACGGCAGAACTTGCATTTCTAGTATGGAAACCTCGTCCGACAGCGATTCTTAGATGATTGCGCTATTAGCGAATAGCTATATAATATGTTTGTCTATGGAGGCAATATCCATAATTCTCTCTGCATGGGGTCATAGCCTTCCTAAAATTTTTCTTGTAATTTTTTTCCTGGATTGGATATTTCCTGCTTTGTCAGTATCAATTTGTAAAGTATCTGCTGAATTCGCTCCCGAAGGAGCAGGGTGGTAGCATCACCTAACAATTAACTTCACATAATGTGGTATATAACAACTGTCCAAAACTCATAGACATTAGACAACATATATAGGAACTATATATAGTATAGTTCCTTCACCCCATCGATTGCTGGCTATACTTACGAGCCCCCAATCAGGTATATCTCTTTGGCAACTGAAAGACATTCAATTATTTGTCATAGTAAATTTAAAATATCACTGCCTTCATAGATTTCTCTTGCCTTGGTCTTCTCAATAATTCATCCAATATAGTTCGCTTCCTTTTGTATTACGAGATTATACCGTGGAGATTAATTTAGATTTTTTAACCTCTTTTACAAATGTCATGATTGCTTTCTGGTTTAACAGCTGTTTCATAAATATCCAGCTTTCTGTGACACGACATATTGTGGTCAAGAATATCTCAAGTCTTTAGTGGAAAAAGGTCAGTTAAATTCCTGAGGAATTATTCCGTGAATAATTGTCTTATTTGAACTTATCCAACTCAGCCCTTTTTAGAAAGTCATCATAATTTCTCTTTCTAAATTGCACATATAGCCAGCAATTCAGAAAGTACTTTACCGAAACCTGTTGCACCGAAACTGGTTGAGACTGGGTGGCAGAAAATACGAGTACGTTTTAATACAACAGAGCTGAAGAACCACAGCGATGTTGATTATATTTTAGAAGTGAAGCCATTATGGGGTCGTCACGAGAGAGGCCAGCACTATGTTGTATTTCCTTACATAAAGCCATACCTTCTTGTAAGTTACCTTCTTTTCGAACCATGGTCATAAATCTATTTCCAAATAAATTAAAGTATAAAACAAAAAACGCAAACACATTTTTCGTTGATGCCATGCATGCAAGCATCGAGAAATTCAGATTTCCTAGGTCCTTTTATTGAGAGAGACTGCTGTCGATATTTTATCACATCAGCCACCTTGACAGAAAGAATAGGCTGACTTGATGACTTTTTGACTTTGAACAAGAAAGCCAATCCGTATACGTATAGCTGTGGACGCAGTGGGGATGATCGTTTCCCGACCAACGAAAGGCGCGACCCAACTGCACGAAGTCTTATTGCCATACAATATTTAGTCATGCTAGCCTATAATTTACTTCTCTTTGGGTTTTTATCCACCAGACCAATCATACAACGTATACAATTGAGGACCTCGAGCCGAATACTGGTTATAAATTTAGAGTGCTCGCTCTAAAACAAAACAGATGGTCGACATTTAGTAACTGGAGTAGTGTCATGAATACAACTGGTAAGCATGCATGAAATGGTGTCTACGTTGAATACATAGTCATGGCTGTGCTTTTTCTTAATTGTGCGCACGGTGTGCAAAGTTAGAAAACGTAGCTAATTAGAAGCGTTATAATGTCCGGGCGTTAAGAACGCGTACAAATATATAGCTGAAAGGATCGAAGCTTACAAAGATCGCGTTAAGTCTGGTTTCCATTTAATTGTAATTGTCGTTAATGAGTAATTTTCACCCTTGAGAAATAGTCCGGTTGTAAATTTGTCTTTAATACTGTATGCAAATCGGTCATTGTTCACTGCACACAAATAGAAATATTCTATCACATCAGCCACCTTGACATTTTCACGAGGAGAACCAAACATCTGCCTAGTACCCAATCTTGCAAAAAAAAACAATGCACAGGCGTATCTTTAATAAGGGTCTTGCATATTAACATGGTATAGCTTGTTTTGCAGTAATGAGTAAAAAACGGCGTGTGTAACTCTTTCGATTATACGCAATTTTAGACCTTTGCGAAGAACCTCCATGTGGCGTAACAAATATCCGCTTGGAATTGACAACCGAGATACCTTATCAAAAAAGGGTGAATTTGAAATCCTTTTTTCGTTGGAAGCCAAGTACTACATGTAAGTATAGTCACTATAGTGATAAAGGGCGATAAGTATAGCGACAAGTCGCGCAAATTTGAAAATAATACACGAGGGCGCCACATGCAAATACTACCGCTCCTATATACGTGCGCCAATGATCTTTAGACTTCTAAACTCCCAATTTCGCTCGAGTAGTCAATCAGCTTGCAAGAATGATATCGGACCGCAAGAAGAAAACAGAACCAGTTAATATATGGTCGGTTTAAAATTCTATACATGCAATGTACATAAGCACAGACGTTTCCGTTCATTTTAATCAGTGAAACAAACAAGACTCGGCTGCCTGGCGTTCGTCAAGAAATGGAAGTAATAAGCGAGTGTCGAAAAATTTATGACGACGTTAATCAATTCCGTAAAATCAAGAACACTGGATTGGTAAGTTATATTATATATGACACGCGTTTCAGTCGCCTTAAACGATTCGATGAAAAATGCGGCCTACAGAAGCGTTTGAGTCCTTATACTTCATGGTGTAAACATCTGGTCCTTGTATTACTTCATGCTTGGCCCAGTTTTTGTGGCTGATATCAAATGTATACAATTTTTATCGGTTGCGTGTCCCGCAGGGGAAAAACCGGATCTTGGCCAACTTATACCAGATTATAAATTAACTGTTTTCTTATTACTTTATATATATTTCTTTACTCTATATTTAAAAACTAGTTATACCAACGCTCATAAAAATTGGAAAAACGTCCTGGAAATTTCTCACTCATGAATGAAGGGCTGATCGCGTTTAACACAATTTCTCGTTGTTGAAATGCAAAGCCGTCTGTTTCATCTGTTCTTTCTAAGATCTTTATAAGCATACCAAAATGGAGACTGTTATAAATATTTTGACATCATTACATGCAAAATATTGATCAGTTGGTGAAATACTGCAGTTTTGATGATGATTTAGATGATTTAATGAACTTTGTTGAAACTGAAGAACCAGACTCGAATTCCCATGCGAAGCATTCCTCCGATTCAACATACTATATAATTATGTATATATATAACAATTAAATTATTACACAGAATAAAATAAAACAAGCGGGAGAATCAAAATGGGAAAAGTGGGAGGATCAAAATTATTGCTTTTGGCAAACAAGCATTTTGCAAACAAAGAGTTTACACTTTTGCATCGATTATACCTTCAATTAATACATGACGTTTTAGTAACATACAACGGTTGAGCGTTATACAATACCGTTGAATGAATTTATCTTAATCATAAAAACTTATTAAATTTTTCCTCCTTAAGGATACTTTCATTAAGCAAGAAAATGCAAGCTCCACCTTCGAAGAGAAAAAAAAGCATGTTTATTATAATTGTTGGTACAAGTTAGAGGTATGTGATTAAAAATGAGCTAGTTCTTAATAATAATATATACCGCCAATCCCAATAATAAAATTTCCAATTTAAAAGATGAAGGCTGTGGATAAGTTTGAAGCAACGACGCTTTCCTTAGCAAAAAGGAAATGGATTTTCCATATACCCAGTAAGTGTAAATTTTTTTCAAAGGAGACATATTTCTTAATATATAAATTGGAATCAAACCAACTAACACTATTTAATACAACAAATCAACTACTTTGAGGTTAATTTTAGCGTATGTAAATAACAGAATTAGAAGTTGCTGAACGACAATTAAAGTACAAACGTATCTTTGTGAATTTCATCTTCGACAGAAATTAAAAGCAATACGAGTCAACCTAAACGATTAAGCAGTTTATAATGTTTTTCTTCGACTGATTGCCACGATCGTTTTCATATACCAAATATTTAGTCATGTTTCATGGGCAGTACCATGAAAAGAAAAAAAAACGTCTAACTGAGATGCCGAGAAACCTAAATTTGATTGTTCTCTTTTACTAATGCGTAGTGAAAGAGAATATTCTTCGAGTAACAAATGCTATTATGGTCTGGCCGCAGAGCAATTAGTCATCCTATAGATTTACATTGAAAATTGAGGCAAAAATAAAAAAATTAATAAAAGGATAAATCTTGATAGAATAATTCTTGGTCTTAACACTTAAAAATAGCATGAAATTCATTGCAAACTTTATATGTCACTGGCATATATAATGCCACCACCTTACAGGCATTTTTTTCTTTCAATGGAGACTCTAATTGTTGATGCGTTGTATTCATATGTCATATGTTGTTGTTACTTTCAGAGTGTATAAAGATCAGTAAAACAATTATTTGCGGATGTAATTGTAAGTAGATGATAATATAAAGTAAACTAATTCCGATATAACCAGGGAGTGGTGTGGCAAAACAACTTTGCATCAAATGACAAAGTTCCTTAAGTCAATACGTCGAGAAGTGTCTATTTAGGCAGTTGTCACACAGCATTTGATGCGAAAGTAATTAAGATAAACACCTGATATTACACCTCAGGGGCCCGTTGTATAAAACTCTATATATAACTACATTTTTGCATAGTAATAAATTTAATTCTAGTTTACTCAGAAATACACGACTTTGATTGGCCAATTCTGCCCTTAAATACATGCAGTTAAAAGCTAACTAATCTTTTGTACAACTCAATGCAAGGCCCTGGGAAATATATAAACGTGCACTCAGATGGTATATGAGTTGTTACCCGAAGTCGATGCAGTTATACGCACGTTGGATTTCCGAGATAAAATGCAAGACAATGCATGATTTGTAAAATATGCTATAAATACAAGTAATCATGCAATGGCGAGTACAAATCGGCATTGATAGTACCTGCATGGTCCAGTGATGTTTTACGAACGACATCGCATCAATATTTGTTCAGTTCGTATTAGCATGATATAGAACTTGTGCTTCTTTAAAATCTTGTCAAGATATTCTTTTTGAATTTAGGACAGAATTTTGAATTCGAGCTGGTTATCAAAATACAGTTCTGCTAGTCTGTTATTTTTGTACATTTGCCAGTATTTTTATTTATCTTTTCTGGTTTTCAAGTTCCTTCATTCACGACTTTTAGTTTGTGTGCAAATAACATTACGTCATTTTGTTTATTTTGGAAAAGTTATTTTAAAATTGCACTGCAATTTAATTCATGAAATAACTTCATGCATACTCCTCTTAACTAATCTACATCATATAATGTTGGATGCAAGTGGCAGCAAAACACACGCCAAGCGCCCGCGAACAAAAATGCTTCCTTTCAATACATATTGTTTATAAAAATGCCTCATGCATGATAAGCTACTTCTTAACCTTGTTTCCTTGGGATATAAAAAATAAATATCTGAACATGCTCATGGTACATGTTTTATGGGATTGGAGATGTATAAAATCACCTCGGTCTGGAAGTATGTCTTTTCCATATACCTAAAACAAAATCTGATTATTCCTCAGATACGTTTGATGGCGATGAAGTATAGTGAAAGGCCAGATGAATGCGACTTACAAAAGAACATCAGAAAAAACTGCTACTGTACATTTTACTTGGAATGATACAATTTGGAGAAATCTGAGTAACTTTACCTATCACGCATTTACGATATACCATGACGAGGAGTTTTTAAAAACGGAACCGAAGCCTTTCTATACGAAATACTACAATGTAACATCGAAAGTAAATATATATATATATATATATATATATATTTATATATATATATATATATATATATATATATATATATATATATATATATATAATATATATATATATATATATATATATATATATATATATATATATACTTCATATGCCTGTACGATTCAGGAATCACTATTGCATCTTCGCAGGTTTCTAGTTACAACGCCACATTACATAATTTAACAATTGGAGATACGTATGATGCATATGTGAGTATTGATTTTCCTTTCGCAGTTCTTTCACGTTTAAATTAACTTGCTCCCCGCCTCCATGTTTTTAGATTTCTTATTTTATGTTGGATTTTATGTTAGCTCTTTTGCCCTGCATGCGTTTGCTTTTGCCATTTATTTTGTCTGAGATATACCGAGACTATATTTCCGAGAGTGAATTGAACCAATGCCTGGTTCTAATTATTGAATTAATGATAACTCTTATGGATCAAGTACATCAATTTTACACTTAAAATTTTCCCGACTGAAAAACACAGCACGTTTTTAGTCTTCACTTTCCTGTAACGCTAATTTATGTGATTACAATGTATCCAGTACCTGAATGCAAACATGCATGCGTGATGTAATATATTGTCCAATTGTGCTAAATAACAATTCTTTACGACTATGTAGTAACAGCAGCTATGTCGTTGGCGATGAAGTAATCTTCATGAGGGAACAATGATTTTATCCTTGATTTAGGCAATAAATTGTTATATTTTGTCATTACCTTCCAATATAACCAGGGAGCAGGGTGGCAGCGTTATAGGCAGTTGTTATACCACATTTGATGCTAAGTTAATTTGTGATTATGCATGTAGTTAATTTTTATCGTTGGCTTAGGTAAAAGGTCTACAATTTTAAAATTTTCTTTAGATTAAAGCATTCGCAGATCATCACTGTGAACACGCAGAAAGACATAATCTTTTCTTTACTGGTATAAAGCCTATCGTTTCACTAAGTGCATGCATGACTACACTTGACCACGTATCGTTTTCTTACGCGTTTACTTACTAAGTGCATGCATGACTACACTTGACCACGTATCGTTTTCTTACGCGCATGACCACACCTATCATTTTTCACGTTTGATGTAAATTCTTATTGTGATTCATCTTTTTCTTCTACAGTTGGTTTTCCATGCGAACATAAAGTTTGTCCTAAGAATAGTTCGTGTCGTAGGGTTGGAAACCATGGTAAAAAAAGTGAATGTATATGCCATGGTGGTTTGGTATTGCGTAATAAAAAATGCATAGGTATGTGTCCGCAAGGCCGATGCATATATTGTAATTAGATCAAGCTTGTACTATTATACCTAACTTGCAAAGGCAACGACCACTGAGTTAGATATATCTAGTATAGGTCAGTGGCAAGTGCATAAGGATTTACCCAAAGGCGGTTTTCCACTAGGTGGAATTTTGCGCACGGAGCGGAATTTTTCATTGCTCTGCGCTTTCATGCAGAACTAATGTGAGAAAAACAAAGAGAAATTCCGCTTGGCGTGTGCAAAATTGTCAGCAAAATTATGTCATTATGCATGTGATTTAGATGAAAAACCATGCGAGAAAAATCCTTGTGGACCAAAAGAGACATGCAAACCGATTGCAGAAACGGGAAAATATAACTGCACATGCGAAGACAACCGAGTGAAAATAAATGGAATTTGTACATGCAAAGGCAACCTAGTGGAAATAAATGGGGTTTGTGACTTAAAAGGTAAGAGCAAGAAATATACGTTATCATATTTTCTATACTTTTTTCTAATTTAAAACATTGCTCGCGCATATATAGCCACGAAGTGGTAAAACACAGGCGGTGAAACGACCATGCTATAAAATTCAACAAGAAAGAAACTATAAGTACAACAAAAAATGTTAAAAAATGGTCAGAAACATTAAGGATTTACAATCGCGGCAATAGAAGCGTTCCGAAAAATATCCAGTAATTAATTTGCTCAAATTCATCAGTTGTCTAACTTGTCTTACGGAGTTCATCAAATATTTGAAAAACTCCTTGAAAAACTGCTAACTTCCGGTTTTGAACTGACCAATCTCTAATCCTATTGGATAATGAAATAAATAGAAACGGAAATTTTATTTGATGAACCCGGTAAACCAACAGATAAATTTAAACAAATAAATTACTCGATTTTTTGGGAACGCTTCTATTGCCGCGACTGTAAATGTAAGATAATTTTATCAAATTACGTTTTCGATTCTGGATGGAAGTTTGAAAATGTGATGAAATTTGAAGATGATTGGAAAATACGAAGTGTGATGAAATTTGCCGTGTTCTGATGTGCGATGGCTGTTGCAGTGCGAAAATAATTTATTTAAAATACGTATACGCGATCCTATGTAAAAAAACAGCTTTTTGTGATGACCAATCTAAGAACTCTTTGTGATGATTAATCGTATAAGATCTCTGTGATGTATGTGAAAATAATCACGTGAATTCAGTGGTGATATATCCAATCAAGGTCACTATTGTGCAAATGGTCTTTTCACCAAATTTACTAGACAGCATGCAGGTATACGCACTCTACATATGTATAGCAATTCTCGATATATAGTATCATGACTCTTTAGTTCAATTTTCTTAGAAACCGGGAATAAGAACGTGGAAAATTACACAAATGTTGTAGTTGTCGCCGTCTTAACGCCTCTGGCTGTGATTCTGATTGCTATAATCTTCATCGTTTGGTTACGTAGACGTCACAACAAGCAAATGACTTTTATAGAAACAGAATTTGAAAACGCTATGGAAACTATAATTACAAATAGGAGCATCATCAATGTACGATCGTAAGTATCAATGTAATAAATGAAAGTTGTGAGTGAATAACTATAGCTTTTAGGTAACAAAAGAACAATAGAATTATAGAACGCCCGCTAAATGAAAAACATTTGACGAAATACATGAAAATAATTTTAAATTACCTTTGATTGTCATATAATTGGCTAAAATCGTTACGTAGTTACCATGCTTAATCCAGTTTTTAACCACGTGCTTCTCAGATCAGATACGCATTAAAAAGACAAAATATATAGGTGCCGGATTTTGCCGGCACGCGGTAAAGAACAATATATAAATATGAGTTGATTAGGTATAGCCATATTTAAAAATTTGTGTCGAAAAGCGTGAAAACTTAAGACCCCACTATATATATAGTAAACATCGAAAAGCTACAGCAAGTACCACTATTCAGTGCCTTTCTTTCTGGATTTATAGCTTATAGCAATTTATACTTGTGTAAGCGACGTAACGAGCTCACTGATCCAGTCCGCTAAATAAACCCAAAAACCAATCCGTCGAACATGAATGACCCGGAATTTAAAACCCCATGCATAATCGCGGCTTGCTGCACAGGTACATATAGCTGCACGTGCACGGCCAATCACAATGACATTAACGCATCTAAGCATGCGCATGCAGTGTCAATCGAAATGACGATATTATGCATTGTTTGATTAGTATTGATCTCGATCTGCTGGGAGACGGAGTGAATACAAAAGAGATGAATTTGATTTACGTTTCTCAAGACAACATTTACGAGATTCCGGAAGATATATTGGAGCCGATTAGTCGATATGAACTTCCTCCGGATTCTGTGCGACTTCGCCGAATCATTGGCAAAGGAGCGTTTGGCAGAGTATACGCTGGTGAAGCCCATGGAATTAACGGAAATCCTGAATTGACAGCAGTTGCCATAAAAACACTAAAAGGTTAAGCTATATTCATTAATGATATACATATGAAATTCAGAGAAAACGTATAGATCTGTCACATAAATAATAATAAATAATAATAATAAATCATAATAATAATAGATGTTGTTGAAAACTTTAAAAACATAATCCGGCGCCAATTCGAATCCTTTAACATTTATTTTAGAATCCGCTAATGAAGACGAACTTAGTGACTTCTTACGGGAAATTGATCTAATGAAAGACCTTGGAGAACATGAAAATGTCATTAATATGTACGGTTGCTGCACAAAGTGTCGTCCAATATGCCTAGTGTTGGAATACGCGCCAGGTGGAAATTTGCTCAATTACCTGAGAGCTCTTAAAAAGAAGGTGGGCATGTAGCTAATAAGCAAATATAGAGTCAATTCAAAGTTCCAGCCATCTTGGCGATTGCAAGCGTATTATTATTATAAAGAGAGGATATTTACTTACATTTAGGATATACGTATATTAGCTGTTTATATACGAGTAAAATCGCGACTTATTTTATGAACTATGGGCTGCGGACCTACGCAACTTTGTGAAGAAAAAAGCTTGTTTTTGTCATAGCTCAACTTTCAGTTGCATATTTCCCCCTATATTTAGTTACAATAATCAGTACATATTTCTATTTCTACCTCATCAGGCTATAGGCGAAACTGTCGGCAATTTTGGGGCCTTTTGATTTTTTATTCTCGACCTATCTATCATTATACCAGATATTGCAGAATAGCTATCTCATAGTAGTGATATTGCATGAAAATCAGTCATTTGTGTAAATACACTTTTTTCTTTTAAAGTGTAAAGATATCGTGGCTGCGCAGTCACACGAAGTGACAAATTCTACCAACGATCATGCAGAAGATTCCAATGCGGAGATCTCAAACAGAATAAAAGAGGAAATTCGAGCTGCTTTAGATTCCAAGCAATTAGAATCGTTTTCGTATCAAATAGCTGCTGGAATGGTAAATAAATAATAAATGTGATTTCAACAAATATAGTTATTTAGTGCATGTTCAACTTTTATGAAGCCTGTATTAAATTATAAGTTACTTATCTAAATTAGAAACACATTTCTGACCATGGCATCGTACATCGTGACTTGGCTGCAAGAAATATACTACTTGGCAAAGACAAAACTTTGAAAATATCAGATTTTGGTCTATCACGTGAAGGAGCATACGTGCAAAAATCTATGGGGAGAATTCCTTTCCGGTGGTTGGCAATTGAAGCGATACAAGAACGAAGTTATTCTACCGCCAGTGACGTGTGAGTATTAAGGATATATATTTTATTCGTTTCTTGCCGGTATAAAATACTCGTAAAATACCAGACCAAATTAATTACGTCTACACATTCAATAAAGTCTGATTTTTTCTTCGTTCAAACCGGAGAAACAAACAAGTGAAAAAAGTGCGGGTTACTAGTATAGCTACGACTTTTGCATGAAATGAAGTCTAGTTCAATGTCATTTCTTCAGTGTTATTTTTCGTATTTTTAGCTGGGCGTTTGGAGTTGTCTTGTGGGAAATATGTACATTAGGTAAGGAAATCCGCTTTATTCATTTATGCAAATCAATATCAGGAATTCGTCGTTTTGCTTAAATATTGGTATTTATCATATTTGTATAGAGATTTATGCACAGCAGAATGCTGAAATAAAAAATCGTATTTCACTGTGTAAATTAATTTCATGCAATTTGATTGGACGTACGATGTTTTTCACGAGTGAAAAAATGCTATACACGGCTTTTGATTGGACGATGTCATTTCGGCGGCAATTTGTTTACATTTTCTTTCAAGATGGCGTCGAAAAATAGGAGTGGGATTCAAAACATATTTCTCATATTCAAGATATTTTCACATTCAGCACATTCTCGAATATTTCGGAGAGAATATCTAACTTCTAATGAAGAAAAATTACAAAGAAAATGAACGGTAATAAATCTTGATGCATAAAATTTCGATTTTTGTTGCTCGCTGTGATTTTGTATATTAAAAGCGTGTCGCTGTCAAATTGATCTCTATACACCTGAAATTTCAATGCATATATGCACCATTATGAAACCATCATATATGAAACCATCGTACTCTCTAAACCTGAGCCTCTCTAAGCCGGTCTCTTTATAGAAGTAAATTACGTCCACGGCAATCTATCCCTGCGTTGAACTGAATTTTATTTATTATTTATTTTATTTTAAAAGGGGAGATACCTTACCCAGAAGTCTCGGACAGGGAACTCCGGAATTTTCTACTAAATGGAAAGAGATTGGAGAAAGTTGAAAACTGCACGGATGATATGTAAGACCCCATTATTGTTATATTTATATTTTATTCACAACCTCTTTCTGCATTGGCCACGAACCGTGATAATTAAAATGCACAGCCTTTTTTAGTTTTGCATATATATTGTTTCAGGCTAAGCCCGCGTACCGACAGGAATCCTTTTGGAGACAAAAACTTCTCCTAGTGGGAAACGGCCGCCTTAAAGCATAGTTAAGAATGTAATTCACGAAAAGAATTTTTACTTCATCTATTTTCAGATATAAGATAATGTCAAGTTGCTGGAGTCAACTACCAGAAAACAGACCAACATTTGAGGAACTGCACGATAGATTGTTGGAATTATGGATTAAAGGAAAAATCTATGTCAATGTAGACAGACTAATGAAACAATCTTTTGAAACTGAAGGTATGTTGCACATTTTCAGCAATTTTATAATACAATTAACTTATAACATAATATTGAAATAAGTCTTCGTGCCAACGCTCAGTAAGTACAGCTTCTGGTCATCTTGTTTTATTACTGTGAATAAATAATAAAGCGAATCCTTTAAAATTAAATCAATAATTTAAAAAACTTATTTCATTTTATAGGTCGTGGAAATCAGTCCGATGAGATAGGAGAGGAATAAAAATGCTATTATCTAATATTTTGCTCTCGAGTGAATAATATTGGTAAATGTAGGATGTAGGATGAAGACATTATGTTTTCTTTAACTGAAACAATAGAAACGATATAATTAAAAAATCACGCAACATGCAAGGTTCAGGTCCCTAATATGATTATGCTATTGGAAATATCTTATTCCAATATGATCAAGAATAATACGTCCTAGGTATCCTAGCCTTTGGAAATATTTTTTATTAGCTCAAATTAAAGTGCTCACTTTCCTAATTTTATTTCTGAAAACAGAATCAAAATTGGCTTTTTCAAAAGATTTTATATAGCTCTCTCGAGTCGTGATTTTTGCCACTTCCTGTGCGAACTTTTGCTCCGCCATGCTTGTGACGTAGAAAAGAGTACCGATTCTTAGTATGGCGTAGAAATACTAGTGTTACCTCTTCGGCAGGCCTTTTCGGGCAAATATAGCGGGTAGAAATCTTGCGGGTAGAAACGTAACCACTAACCCGCATATATATATATATATATATATATAATATATATATATATATAATATATAATATATATATATATATATATATATATATATAATATATAAAAAGTTTGTCTCGGAAGCAATGAAGATCAGACAAAGGATATCAAACAACACTAAATCTAATCATTTTGCACAAACGTTTTCGCTTTATTGAAAGCTCCTCAGGTGCTGAATACTTTGTAAGAAATGAGTTGTGATATCCTATATTTACATATTTCACTGGTTTGCCACTACGTCACTACACGTGTGGTGTTGGATTACTTAATGGTAATTATTTACATAAATATTTCACACAAACAAAGATATGAAAATATATAACAAAATCTTACATAAACTACATGGTATTATTATTGACATGAATTTAAATCCGGCTGAAGTATAGTTATAATGTCTCTTTCCTTCGACTCCCAGCAGTGTGACAAAATGCGGAGAAACAAGTAGGCCGTAGGATGAGCATCCAAAAGATGCTTAGAAAACGGATTCCGTTGCACCCCTCGTGGAACTACATAATTTTCACATGAATCAATAGATAAAAATTTACTTTATCAGAATCCGTTGTTCCCCAAGCGAAACAGGTGCACAATTGGGAGAACAATCCCTCCAAAGTTTTATATATTCGCGCTTCGAAATATTCGAACCGCCATTGTTTTAGTAGCAAATACGCATGCGCTTGTCAGCCAAACTCGCACTGCGCACGCGCATAAGCACACACATGCTTCAAAGTGGAAACACGCTTAGTTATGCAAAACAATCATGGCTGAAAATATTTATAAAACTCGAATATCCTCATGTTTTATTCATTTTGTTGGCGTTACGGAGCAACTTTGCAAAGTTACACGCCAAGGGCTTAAGAAATGTCTTGAGTGTAGGTCTAAATGGGCCAAACTTAAATGTCAACAAGCTGAAATAGCTAAGAAATCGTACGAGAACATCGATGACGGATCTGTCAATTCATACATGGAGAACAGGAGAAGAACCCTGACAGCATTAACTTAGAATGGTACCATCGTATGAAATGCTGGAAGAGATTTTCTGATGAAGAGAATATCCGTAGACAACAGCGAAAAGAAGAAAAAGGAGAAGGAACTAGCTCTAAAACTGTAACTTCTACCGAAGAACTACATGTGGAAGTGGAACCAATAGAACCAAGACGAAAAATTACACGCCAATCAGTCGCAGGCGTTAATAAGACCTTGCCTAAAAGAAACGAGTCCAGAGATATGTATTGTTTGTGGAAGAGACGCCTCTTGGTCCTCACTAGACAAGGTATGGTCATTTTGATAGATATAATTATACTAGTGCAATAGTGCAATGTGTACTAGTAGCACAGCATTCTCGAGTTTGGTTTTAAAATATCTTGAATTGTGGTCAATTAAGTTTATTTAGGGTAAAATAGTTTTTAATGCTACAAACATCCAACTGTGTTATTAGCAGATATTTAGTTTAATAGTTTTGTTCGCACCAGGTAACTAAGAAGAGAAAAAGAACCCCACTCATGTTGGCAGAAATAATTGATGCTGGTCTTCTACGTACAGCTGCCGAGAGAAAGAATGATGAACGGATACTTGTGCAAATCCGGGGGAAAGACTGTGTAGCACTGGAAGTCCCCTATCACAAAGTTTGCTACTGCAATTATACAAAATTTCTCACCAGAGAGACAAAGAAGCAATTGGAGATTGAAAGATCTACATAAGTGTACGAGAAGTCTTATGATGTCTTCTGTAAGAAAGTAATCGAGACTGAGGTCATTGCAAATAAGCAAATAAGGTATATGAAAGATTTGCTGGAGAAATTTGTTGTCATTGCTAAGGACACCGAGAATGTGGATGCATCTAAATATAGAGCTTTTAAACTCAAGCAACAACTGATGAAAAGTTATCCCCAACTTGTGTTCTAAGTACCGAAAATGAGAAATGTTAGTGAGATTGTATATGTGGAAAATTTGGATTCTTCCGAATTGGTTGAGGAACATATGTCAAACAAGTCAGAAAACAACGATGAAGACTTTGATGAAGAGAGCTACACCGGTACCATTGATGATGATGATCTGAATTCCAACACAGAAACTGAGGAAAATTCGAGAGTCAATGAGTTACAAATTTATACAATGCTGCATTGATTCTTCGCCAAAAGGTCCAAGATATACCAAAACTGAATCTTCGTTGGCCACCATTGGCATCTGATTTGACAATGGATAATGTGCAAAAAGTGGTTCCATGTGAACTTTTTAATGTCTCGGCTTGGACTTGTGGATTCTCTTCAGAGCCAACTTTAAGTGAGTACGTGCCAATTGAGGGCAAGAACAATGCCAAACTAACATTAATTGTACAAGACCTTCTGAATTTAGCATCTGGGGGAAGGAATCCTACACCCAAGAGCATAGCACTTGCCATGGCACTTAGACAACTGACAGGTTCAGCCTCAGTGATTTTTCTATTGAGTGGCTTTGGACATTGCATGTCACACTCATTTGTATTGTGCCATGAAACTGCCCTTGCACAGATGAATATATCCAATGATTCTGCTATTCCTCCAGGCTTTGTTAGTGATGTTCCAACTACTCTTGCATGGGATAATGATGATTTCTCAGAAGAAACTAGATCTGGCAAAGGGACAACTCACATCACTGGGGGCATTATCATTCAAAGGGAACAAAGTGCAAGTACTGAGTTACAGAAACGGGATAGCATTCCAAGGCTATATTTAAGCGAAATATTTAACTTGTTTCTTGATTGTGTGAGTTGTATGTATATTTATATATTCTCCATCCTGTTTGATACAGGTGGGTTTTTTACCTCACAATTTTTTATTGAATTAAGTTGTTAATAAGTAGAATTATACGTTAAAACGGTATTTTGAAACAATAGCCAATGAATTGAAGTGATTTAGCATATGAGCAAGCAAAATGTACAATGTGTTTTAACAATACTACCGTTTGCAAGCTACCGTGAACCGTGTCCAATCAAACGTTTTGTTTTACGTTTATTTCCGGTGACGTTTGCGCGCGTAAACGTCATGTTCTCTAAGTACAATTGTTTACGTTTGCTCGCCGAAAAGTTAACGTTTGAGCTAGAAAAATTCGGTTTACAATAATGATTCAAGTTAAAATATTGTATGGCAAAGACAGATGTAAAGTAAAAACTTACAATAATGACGAACAATTGTTCAAAATGTCGTTGGACTCATTTAAAAATGATATAAAGCGTTTTGTTGGTGGAACATTCCTTGTCAGCGACCGAGTTCGAATTGAATATCGAGATGATGAAGGCACGTATGTGACTATGTACGAGAACTCTGATCTTAAAGATGCTATACGATGTCTGAGCGCCGTGCCTAATACGGATAATACTTTGAGGATGGTGATCAAAATAGACGAATCAACTACCCCTGTTATTTTGCAGGGGAAGCAATACAGCCCACAGGAAAAGAAATCTCGATTCTCAAGTACAACATTTGCCTCGACTATTGAGCGTGCGACGCCATTAGTTAAAAAGAAGTTAACTTTTTCAAACAAAACGAATAATATTTTCGAAGATGACGATTACGAGGAGACATTTGACAGGCGACCGGCAAGTAGCGACGAAGAAAGTCAAGAAGAAAGTGATATGAACAATAGTACCCAACTATATCAGAACACTGGCAAGACACCGATAGCTAGATATATCGAGAAGACTCAACCATAAAATTAAAGAGAATGACAATGCCATAGAAAAATTGAAACGTGAAGAAAGGTTGACAAAGCAACGGATAGCAGAAGCGAAGTCTAACAATCAATCCGTTGGTAATTTGTGTAGCCGATGTCATCTTAGAATGGGACATACAGTTAGGACTTGTATTTTGAGCGATGCGACTCTGTGTTCAAATGTGGAGAAGAAAAGCAACATCCCGGAGAAATAGATACCAGAAAGAAAAAGAATGCTATAGTGCGACTGGAGTCAATCGGACGTAAGTTAGAAGCTGAGCTTCAAAATAAAAAAGATGCTGCTGAAAAAGTTGGCTCATCCATTGTTAATCGGCTGGAGGAAGAAATTTTAGCTGTTGACCAAGCTTCCTACACGTTTAACGGTTTTAAAAACTGGAGTCTTCTCCGAAAACATGTTTTTATTTTGCAATCATATTGCAAACGTCATTATGGGGGAAAAATTCCTCCGAGACATAAAGTTATGGAGTGTTTACGTAGAGCAATTCAAGAAGACGAAAGTGTTTCGTCTGCGACTGTCGGCATGTCGCAGGTAAGGTCTCGTCGCGTTCGGGAAAATCCTTTTAAAGATCACCTCGAAAAACAAGGAATTGTTTTTCCTCGTTCAAGTGAAACTATATCGAAGATGCCTACAAGCGATATGTTTCGCTACGCGCCGCAAAATGAAGTTGAGGAGGATGAGCAATTTCGCATGGCTTTATCGATTAGTTCTTACGACACTGAGCCACGAAGCGAAACTCGTGACGAATTTGAGCAATATGAAAGTGTCACAGACACCCCTGGCCCTGCTATGTCTATGTCTTCTAACGATGCAGATGCCGCGAGTTTGTTACTATCCCTTAAGAATGCAAACAAATGATCATTGACATTGTAAGTTCCAACATTTTCTTCAAGTTACAATGGCTTACTTTGAACGTGAATTTATATTTGTTTAAGAAAACTTTTAATTACAACTTTCAAGTTATACGTTCCGTTTTTGTGCCACTGTGGAAATTATCATCTACAATGAACAAAATTTATTTGTTCTAATGACGTTTTTACAAAATTTATTTGTAAAAAAGTACATTTTTTTCAACATTAATCACATTGTTTACGTTTTGTTTATACAAATTTTATTTTTTATCTTGTCCAAAATTTGATATTGTCCGTAAAATGTTTGTCTGTTATCAAAATGAAAACAAGTCAGTATAGTGTAATCAATGACACTGCGCCATGGTGGTAACTTTGGTAT